TTGCAAGAGAGGGGGGGGCGGGGACAGGCCAGGTGAGAGTATAAAAGGGGGAAGGGAAGGCAGCGGAGCCTTGGGCAAGGTGCCCTGGGTTGGGCCAGCGCCGCCCTGCCTGGTGCAGCCGAGGGCTCCGGGTGGCCCTTTCCGCAGGGGAGGGGGCCGTGGGCAGAAGCGAAGGCGGGCTTCTCCTCTGCGGTCCCCTCTGCACAGCCGCAGCCTCAGCCTCTCTTGCAACGCGGGAGGAAACGATCCGCGGGGGAAGTCATGGCGCCATCACGATCCCTCCGGGCCCTGGCATAACAATCCCTCCCGCCTGGCTCAGCGAGATGCACATTCGCCCCTGGCAGAACCTGAGCTCCCTCCACCCAAAGACGTGGGTCCGTCCAGGAGGGGGGCGGGTGTCCCTCTTTTGAGGAGGGCAGTCCTCACTTTGAGGGACTACCAGAGGCCCAGACGGTGTGTGGAGAACCTCCCGGTTCCACTTTAAGGTTAAGGAGGTGGGACAGGCGAGCCCATGGGTCTTCTGCACGGCATGAGACGGAAGAGATTTCTGCGGCAATTGCGCAGACCACCTTTCCCCAGAGAAAAGCGGGCACCCCCCGCTCTGGCCATGCCCCTCCTCTTTTGCGGTCGCTCACGAGCGGCCGCTCTGGCCCGGGGATGGGGCGGCAAAGAGCGCCGCGCCCCTCACTTTGTTGTCATTGGTCTCGGTGCTGGGCCGCGTCATCCGGATCCTGAGGATCGTCTTGGGGTCCAGCGGCCACTGCCTCCCACCGTTCGCGGGCGCCGGCTCGGCTTGGTCGCTGGTCACCACGTCCACGTCCACGTCATCGGAGTGCTTCACGCTGAAGGTCACGGCCTCGGCTGGGGCAGCTCTGCAAATGAGAGGGAGAGAGGTTTGTGGAGATGTACTGAGAACCGCGGGACCGGGGGGGGGGGGCGAAATCCAGCCTTCCGGAGTCCCCAGGTGGCCCCTTCTCCCCGCCCCTTTCCCCAGCCAGGGCCGGTTCGGTGCTTCCCCAGCTTTGGTGGAGTCGTTCGTTCCCTGTAACCCCATTAGTTGAAACATCCTCCTAAGGCTTTACTTGCAATATGATCTTTAAGCTCAAATATATTAGGATTTTGGGCCTTTTGGCCCCATCCGGCACCGATACGGAATTCTAAAGTTGTGCTTTATGGTTGTATGGTACTCAAACAGCTTCGGTTCCTGTGCAGCACAGAAATGTGATAGATAAAATTAACAGTTTTAATTTAATTGATCAGCCCAGCCAATAAAGCAATTACATATTGCACCCCAATCCCTTTCTATTTTAGTAAGCAGATGCAAAACCGCCCTGCTCCGAAGTGTGCTCTGACCCATAGGCAGAACTGCCCTTTTCGTCAAAGCACGCCATGTTTCTCATTGTCTCTGGGAGTTCCTCTGGTGCATCGTTAGCTGTCCTGCAAAGGCAACCAGCGTGGCAGAACCTGAACTGTTCCGAGATCAAACCAAGAAATTCAGCAGCCTTGAATCTCAGGCCAGGCTGTGCTGAAAAGGAGCAGCCAGACAACTCTGGCCTAGAAAATATCATCCTCAGTGGATCGGAACTCCTGCCGTAGAGCCGTTGATTTTCCCAAGAGCGATTCTCCAGGGCCTGGCTGGAGCTCTGCGGGTTTCAAGGTCGGGAAAGCAACCTGAATCCCAAGTCTGTTTGGATCTTCAGGGGCCTGCCCACTTCACCCTTTGGGACTCATTGCATAATAGTCATGGATTCCCACATCTATTTTTAAGTGCTGGGTCAACCATGCCCTGGACACTGTGGGAGCTGGGGCGGCTACAGAAGCTCAGGCCGGCTCAGCCACCTGGAAGAGAGAAGTTGACTTAGCAGGTTGCACTTGGCCGAGACGTCTCGGGCACGGGGAAACACCACGTTGGCCCACGGTGCCGCCCCTCGGGGACATCTGTGCCCATGCGCTCGATGCGTCCAACTCGGAGAAGCGCACGCTCTCGCCTGAATGTCTTAAAAAGCCACAGGGGGACGAGGGTCATTAGATGCCTCAAATCTTCCCCGTGATTTCAGTGAAAGCAAAGGAAGCGGAATCAGGGCAGCTCCTTTAAATCAGGGCGCAGAACCTCTGGGGCTGTGGCCTGGCCTCCGGGAATCCCACAGTGGCCGGCCGTGTCCTCTGCCCTCGGTCCCACCCTAAGCACAAACCATTTGGTAGCTTGGTGTGGAGCAGCTTCTCACAAAGGCTGAAATGCTTCCCCTACATTTGAACGGCTGGCTGACAGCCTTAAGATATTAGGATAAACGATGTTCGCGTTGGTCTCGCCCACTGGCAGAACGTGGCCCCAGGAGGGTCTCCAAAGGGGAAAGGGCCCCGGGGCTGGAGGAGGTTCAGGCCACCGGCCCCCATTGCAGGCGAAGCGAGAAGGGAGAGTGATAATCCCTGAAAGTGTTTAGACTGCAAGCTCCATTCAGCTCTGTTTCTAGAGACCCGACACTCGCCAGTGCTGCTTTCAGCGGAAAAAACCCCCACAATCGGTGCAGGACCACGGGCATCTCAAATGCCCTGGCAGAGCGCCTGGCACAAACGGCTCGTTGAGCAAACGAACAAAGGACAATCGGAGGCGCGAGGCATTCGCCGTGACAGGAGGGGCTTATGCGGGATTACGGAGCCCTCGCCACACGGGTGACTGTGCAGCAGCACAAACAGCCGGCCGGGATGGGCCAGGGGGCGCTTGCCTCCATTTGCTCCGGCTGAGCGCCATCTCCCAGGCGGCGGCCGGGCACCCGAGCAAGCAAACAAAGCACCCCGGATCCTCGGCAGGCCACCCGCCCTTCCTGCCCAGCAAGGAGCAGCCCCCAGCTTTCCCCAGCATGGGCAGGTGGCAGCAGCTCCCTGGCAAAGGGGCGCCCGCCTTGCGAGCCGGTCCTTGGAAATGAGTTGCTCTGAAGTGTAAGGTGACTCTTAGGAAAACATGGAGCTTCTCTTTGTCGCTGAAAACGCAAGGATGGAAAGGAAGAGCTGAATTTAAAGCCAGTCCCTCGTCCCTGGAATGCGGGATCTTTCTTGCTCCACCGAACAGCCACTACAAATGACTGCTTGCCTCAGCCCAGCATCTTCTTTTCTCAGAAGAATTTTCTTTCTTATTTTTTGAACTCTGACAAATCATAAAAATGCGTTGACAATAAGGGCGTGCCCGTGGTTTGAAGAGAGCGCCCCTGCCCATGCCTCGCACTCCAGTGGGCAAGGCACCCCCGACTGAAAAGCGCTTCAGGCTAGGAAAAATTGGAACCACCTATAACGGCAGTCTAAAATCAGCGAGCGAAATCTTCACTATGTCTTATTTTTATGACATTGTGCCGATTTAAATTAGCGAGTAAATGTGCAGTACAATGCACACTTCCCTAAGGTGGACCTGCTTTGGAATAAACCGGGATCGCGCTGCACGGCTTCCCCACAAGGCAGCCACCAAGTCCGCAGGAGAGTCACTCAGGGGCTCAGCTCCGTTCGGCTCCTGAAGCAGGCGAAGCCGTGCCTCTGAGCTTAGGCAAAGGGCTTCCCCCTCATGCGCAGCAAGCACAACTAGCTCTCTGAGATAGATAATTTAGCAGGTACGCAGAGTGGGTCGGAATTTCTGGGCGTTTCAAAAATCCAGTGCCTGCAACGAAGGTGATTAAAACATAACTGGAGACTTGAGAAAAAACGGGGAGGGTTGCAGGGGGATAAATTTAAAACTCTTGAAACCTGAACTTGAGGACCCAAAAACTTCTCCATTGGCCTTTGCGAAGACAGGAGCTATGACAAATCTCCCCCTCGGCAGCCGGGGCTGACACATCACTCAATCCATCTCTAGTACCCGACACGCGAAGCCAAGTTGTTGCCAAAACGAAACATGCAAGCATTTAAGGACAGAGGCAAAATCCCGGGCCTCATGGCCTCTGCTGCGTGTGGAGAGAGCCCTCAGGCTAGACTGGGCCCGGGCCATCTCGCCCAGTGGTCAGCCAGCTCCCATCGCGAGCCCACCAGCAGGCCAGGCGCAGCAGCCCCCGCCTGGCCCTGCTCCCAGGGACTGGTGTGCACCGGCATACGGCTCTGGCCCTGGGGGGGCACCTGGTGGGCAGGACCAGCGGCCGTCTCCCTGCGATGGCCGCAACCTTCACGACAAAAGAGCTCCAACTAACTCGGAAGCAGCACACTTCTTGGCCAGCCGAGAAAAGGTGTTCCCTCAGTCCCTCCGCTGCAGACTCCTCAGCAAACGCTTTTTCATGTTTCGAGGGCCCCAGAGAAACAGAGCCCAGCCACTACATCAAAAAGGGGGCTGCAAAAGCAGGACCCCCCCAGACAATCTGTGCCCCTTGAGAGAAAAGGTGCAGGAAACTGCACCAGATTTATGGGGAAGGGGAGACAGCGAAGAAGAAGGAAGTTCTGGCCACCAGCGAGAGCGAGAGACGGAGAGGGAGGGGGAGGGAGAACTTGAGAGAAGTCAACATGCAAGAATATATGTTGCTTCAACCCCAGGAAAACTGTAAAAACGGAAGAATCCTGCCTGCGTAGATGGGGAATGCAGAAGCGTGTGCGTTGGGGGTGGGGGCAGCAGGGCTGCCAGAAAGGACGGAATCCACGCTCCAGTTTTGGGCTGGGGCAGGCGGCAAAAGGCCTGGAGCGCCGCTGGGCTTGTGCGGGAGAGGGTCGTGGGAAGCAGCTCTGCTCCGGGGGACGCTGGGGAGAAGGTCCGAAGCGGCCGTCCGGGGATGCGGCACCCGCTGGAAGGCGCGCACGCAGCAGGCGCACCTGCCTTAGCGGAGGATGCGCAGGTGAAGGAAGGGCGGCGGGGGAACGAACAAAGGGGCGAGGTAAGATGGGGGTCTCCCCATATGGGAAACGGGGGGGGGCACAAAACCGCCCGCGTGGGCTCGGAGCGAGGCTCTCCGGGGGCGGCAGCTCACCCGTAGACGTCGGTGGAGAGCTGGGTGCCCACCACGCAGACGGCCTCGATCCGGTTGCCGTACTGCAGGCGGAGCGTCCGATCGCGCAGCATCTCGCCCAGCGCCGGCTCTGCCTCCTCGTCCGCGGCGGCGCTGCCCGTCCGGCAGGTGCGGCTGAGTGCGCGCCCCGCCTGCCCGCGGGAGCCCCCTCGGCCCGGCCCGGCCCGCCCCGGGGGCGTCGACCTCGCCGCGCCGGGACGGCCCCCTCCAGGAGGGCCCGGCGGCCGGCGGTATTTTTAGAAGGGGGAGGCTGGGCGCGCAGCGCTGCGCCGCCGCCCTCGCTCCTGCCTCTGAGCAGCTGCAGAGCGCGTGGTGCCTCCGCCGTGGGGAGCGCCGAGACCGGCGACCCCGCCCTGGCACCCTCGGCCGGTGGGCGCAGCCCCTTGCTCTCGGCCACGTAGACAGCAGCGGGTGCGGAAGGCTGCGCGGGGGCGCTCGGGCTGTTTCGATTTGGAAAGGGAAGCGAGAGAGAACCGGGGGCGCTTCGGGAGCGAGCGGCGAACGTTGCGCAAGGAGTGGACAGTGCCCAGTGGCCCAAAGGCTTTCCCGAGCGGCCCCCGGCCCCCCACCAACGAGCCCTCCTTGCCAGTTTGCGCACAAGCCGAGAGGAGGGGTCCGTCTCATCGTGCCGACCTTGCGTAAGCCAGCCTGGCCCTCCGTCCTTTTCCCGAGGAGCTTGACACAAGGACTCCAAATAAAATAGCCCGCAACTCCAGTTCTGCCAGTTCCTCGGAGTGGACGGATCTCTGTTGGACTGAGGCAAAGCGCCCTGCACGGGCCCTGCCTCGGGGAGGGTGTGGGGCGTGCGGCCCTGGACCCATTATGCAGGGTGCTTGTAGGCCAGCTGGCCGCGAATGATGGGAGCTACAGCTCCTCGGGCACACTGGCCCCCAGTGCCGGCCTTGCCTGCTGCCACACACCTGCGGGGAAGGGCAAGAGCCCGGTGAGCAAGGAGGCTGCGGCATCTCCCGCTCTCCGGCGCCCCTCTTGGGACCAGGCTCTCGCCAGGGGCCCAGTCATGCTGGTGGACTCTTGACGCAGCCCTGCACACCCATTTCTGTCTTCACCTAATGGTACTTCACTGCTTGTGGCAATCCAAAATTTGTCCCAACAGCTCTCGCCTATCTTGCACGCAACTTCTATTAATTCGAACCACAGATGAAAAGCTCGCTCGCGCGCTCTCTCTCTCTCTCTCTCTCTCTCTCTGTCATGTTGATGAAAAGGCATCCTCCTGTGAGCTAGCCATGTGCTCTTAAGGGTAGCCATCTCAAGGCCGACTGCCCCTCAGCGGAAAGGCTGCCAGGGATGGGAAGCCCGGCTGCCTGCCCGCTTTTCTGCTCACGCTGGAGATGACGACGGTGGCTAGAACGGTTTCCCGGTGGAGATCAACTCTTCGGCTCGCATTGCTTTGGACTCTCCGTGGGGCAGAGGCTACGGAGACTGGGCTCCCTTGAACGCCGGCCTTTACCACGGCGCCGTGGGTCCTCGGAGGCAGGAGAGCGTGTCTCTCTGCGGGGACGCAGGACTTTCTGCGTTGTGCCCGGGAAGGCTCTCACGCGTGATGCCAACAGACTCTTCATGTCCTCGGCATTCCGCCCTGGGGCAACCCAAGTCCTCCTGGTTCCACCGAAGCCAATACGGCTCAGGTTACCCCACAAAGGACAGCGCGGCGCACGCAGCAGGATTTGTACGGTGCATTGCTGGCCCTCTCATGAACTGCCAGAGCTCCTGGGGACGAGGGCTGGCGGGGACGCCTGCAAGGGTGCAGCTCCGGGCTTTCCGAGCCCAAAGTCCCTGTGCGGCCCTGGCACCTCCGTGCAGGGCGGTCACCTCGAAGGCAGGTTCTGCTCTGGAATCAGTGTAGTCCAAACACCAGAACATGTGGTCTTTCGAAAAAGCGGGTCACCTCTGGGCATGTGCAGAGCGATACTTGCAAATACTCACAACACGGGTAGCAGGACAAGTTTCTGAACCTTGTGATTTGTGCTTTGGCACGAAAGCCAGGTCCTGATTTACACCTTACTTTCTCCACACAGGGAGAAGAAATTAAGACTTTTAATTCCCCGTAAGAAAAGCTTTTAAGGATGCCATCGTGCTATGGCTTCCATTGTTCATCCACAATTTTTTTCGAGGCAAGTGCCCCCTTGTGGTAAGCCATTCTCAGTAACATGTCTCCAACTTGCTTCCAAGTAAAGTGCTGCTTTAAATAACCTTCATTTAAAAAGGAAACTAATTCGGCTTGTTGTACACATGAGGACTAGTAACACACCTCCCTTTCACAGTAAGAGAATGAGTCCTCAGAGTTTTCATTCATTCACAACTTGGGAGATTTAGTCTTTAACACGGCACAACATCTGTTACTGAAAGTCGGCGCACTGCAAATCCAAGGGAAAGTTCCTGAGGCTCCGGGGAGGGGGAATGCGAAGGCTCGCAAGCACGCCGAAATAGATCCGGGTCTTTAGAAAATAGTTTGAATAAGTTTAACGCTCTGCAGAGAGCCTTAAAATAGAATGGGCATCTGTCATCACCTCTGGCAAGGCGCATGCATCCTTCTCCCGAGAGATGCCCTTTGTGGAGTTCCTTGAGGCCAACGCCTTCGGCTTTGAGGAGCGACGGGCAGGGGCGACCCGCCTGTGCCCCTTCACTCCCTGTTCCCATTTGTTCTGCAGAAAGCCCTTTTCTCCCTGCTTCCAGAAGAAGGCACACCTGCGCCCCTCCTGCGTGAAAGCAGAGACGGCACACGGCTCGCTTTCTCCTGCGCTGTAATACGAGCTCATGCGGGCTGAAAGCTAATCGGACCGTGCTGCCACCTCATGTCCAGCTTGCTGGGAGCACCCGAGAGCGGAGCGGCCCTGGTGAATCGGACCAAACGCTGTCCAGCCTGGCCTGCCGTCCCGTTCACACGGGGGGCACCCAGATCACCCAGGCTCTGGGGCAGGCTAAGCATGCGGGTTTGCCCAGTGGGGAGGGTGGAATCCAGGCAGCACACCCCGTCTAGAAGTGGAAGCACCAGAGGCAGCATCGGATCTCCCGGGAGAAGGCTGGAGGTCGTTACCGGGGCGATGGCCGGCGAGGCTTTGCTCATGTCCTGTCGCATCCCGAGCTGGGCTTCCCCGCCGCCTCTCTTCTCAACGGGAGGAGAGGCAGAGCGGCTGCAGGGCATCTTCGGATGGGCAGGGCAGGGAGGCCTTCCAGCCTCCGAGAGCTGTGCCTGCACTTGCCGCTCGCTCTGCTAGATGTAGCCACATCACCGCAGCCGCCCGGGGGAACCCAGCGCTGGGCTCCGTGGCCGCCCAGGGAGGGCACGACCGAAGGGCTGGCGCAGTTCCTGTGCCGCTGGGACCGGCCTCTCTTCAGGTTGCAAAAGGCCGCCTGAGGGGGAGAGTCGGCGAGGCAACCTGGACAAGCGAGCCAGGATCTGGCCCTGGAAAGAGCCTCGGCTGCCCGCTCTGTCACCTCTCGCTCACTCCTCCTGCCTATCAAAACACTGGATTGACGTCTGCTTTTATGAAAACAGCCAAGGAGACAAGTGGACCAAGACGGCCGACCGCGTGGCTGACCGGGCTGGTTGCAAAGTGAGAGTTTGCTCACGCCGCCCTGGGAGGTGCCCCGGCGAGACGAATCTGAGGATCGGTCTGCAAAGCCGCGGAGATGTGCGTGACGGGTCCGGCGATGATCACGCGTGAGGGAGGGAGGCGGTCTGGGTGCCGGGCACGCGTGCCCTCGAGCACGGCTGCCATGAGTCACGAGTGGGAGGACGCCTGGAGGCATCTCTCGTCACACGGGGGGGGGGGGCGTGTGGAGCCGCCGAAGCTGCCCTGTGCTGAGTCAGCCTCTTGGCCCATTTGGATTCCAGTCCTCGTTCCTCTCCATAAAGAGCTGGTTTAAACGGGACCATCATGACTGCCTTTCTAACGAGCTAGACCCTTGACCATTAGGACCCTCATTCAACCCGACGACCAAATTCTGATTTGCAGCAGTGTCCAGGGGCCACAATTTGGGGCGGGGGGGCGCTCAGGCAAAATGGGCCGGGTCCAAATGCCAAAACTTCCAGTATATTTTCACTTCAAGCAGAAGCTACCAGCGACTGACCATTAGGAGAGGGGCGGATTTGGGATGCCCCGTTCTGCCTCTCTGCCCCAGCACGCTCCAGTTTTCACGGACACCCACAGCTTTTCCTGGGCTGTGCCCGCTTGCACACGAGTGAGACGGAGCGACCCCCTACGCCCCACACGGCCCGGCTCATGAAATAAATCCTCCCACAATGAGAGCAGGAGCTCAGAAACTGGGTCTGCGGCTGCCGCTTCCCTTCACTGCCCATAATTAGCCAGCAAGGCTTTGAAAAACACCGGCTGCAATTAAGCACGTGGCACAATAATTAATACAAGTAATTAGCGCTTAAGGAGGTGATTAAACCTCCTAGGCAGGCATGCCACGGCGTTGGGGCCCTGATCAACAGGAGGGCTGGGGCGTGTGTTCCCCCGGGGGTAGCAGCGGCGGGGGCCAGGTGAGGGCAGCCGCCGACAGGTGGAAGAAGAGCCCCCCCGGCTCAAGAGGGACCCCCAGTCAGTCTCCAACATGGCACCCACACAGCAGGACTTCTCTCTTGGCCCCCGCTGAGCCCCCTGCTTGATTTTTGGTGGGGGGGGGGATTAAAACACGGCTTTCAATGCTGCCCAGGCCTTTCATGTTGGTTTTGTGTTTCGGGCAGTCCTAGGCGTGTGAGCCAGGGAGCAAGCGCCCCGGACCCCGTGCCAAGTGGCACGTTCCAGCCTGTGAGGCTCAGCAGTACCTTTCGGGGAAGTCCTTTCCTAGGTTTACGTTGTGGGGAGGGGTTCAGCCCCGAAAGCTCAGCTGCGGTAAAGACCCCCCAGACCCCCGTGCTGCTGTGCGCAGGCATCCCAACACAGGGTCGCGGCCACGCTGTGTCCCGGCTGCGTGCCGCCTGAGCCACCAGCGGGGCTCCTGCAGCTCTCGGGCTGCCCAGGTGCACGGAGGGAAGCGGCCAGCTTGGCCCTGGGTTACAGAGGGATTTAAGGCAAGACAGGCCCATCTTGAGAAAGACGAGCAAAGCCCTGGATGAGAGAGGCCTCTGGTCTAATAACTAATTCGTCTGGGTATTATTGCTAGGTTTTCAATCTTGATAATGACGTTTTACTTTGATTTCATATCTGTTTTTCTCCTTATTGTAAGCCGCCTTGAGACAAGGGGAATAGGCAGCATATGAATGAGAGTATAAACAAAGAGTATTTCAGCACGGCTCGTCTCACGAGCCTCGAGGGCCGAAGCGGTTCCAGCGACAGACTTCGAAGCCCACCGACGTCTCCCTGCCTGCCCTTCCTCCCAACTCGGCTGCATCTCAAGATGCTCCGTGCGCACCTGCCAGGCGCCTGTCCGCCCAAGTTATAATCCCTGCCACCTTAGCTGTGACGAAGCAATGACTTCGGTGCTCTCAGAAATCGGAATCCTACACCGGCCCTCAAAAGAGAGCCAGTTTTCTCAGCAGCTTGCCCTGAGATCATTAAAACGGGGAGCGGCTGCTCTGAGCAATGGCCTGAACAGTCTTTGTTTTACTAAGGTAATTGGGTTGCTGTGTGGAGAGGAGGTTACGAGGTTGCTCAGATGGGAAGTTACGGGTGCTTCTTTTTAAAGACCAAAGACGACTTCTTGCGGCTTCTTCAGGGGGAGGAGGCTGGCTGGGAAGGCGATTTTTCAGGGGTCAAGGAGAATCCACTTTGTCAGGGTTGGCTCTGGGGCGGCTTTCAGGTGCGGACAGGATAGTGGTCTTCTTCACTCCACGGACGAGCAGGGCTGCTTCTCCTGAATGAAGAGGACAAAGTGTCCTTTGCCAAGCGGCGTTTCCAGGCGCTTCGCATGCCCGTGCAGCCTGGCATACCGGGCAAAAATGTTTCTGGAAGGGGCCCAGGGGGATCACAACCCTGCAGTGCTGGGCGGGGCAGGTGCTTGAAGCCTTCCCAAGCTGACACCACCCAGCCTTTTGGAGCACAAGCCCCATAATCCCCATTTTTATTGCTCAGTCTATGACCATAAGAGAGGATGTCTGTCTGTCTGTCTGTCTGTGCCGTGGACTGGAAGACTCTGGCACAGAGGCCCCTGAAATGGGCATGCATGCTAAGGGCTATTACGTCCGAAAGGCACGCTCTTTCACTTTAATCCATGCTAACAGGACTGTCTGGCCGATGCCCACCATACAGTCTCCAGTTAGCAGGGTTCCCTAAGCAGGGCTGGCTTTGCAGTCTGTGCCGTCTGGAGCCGGGGAGGCGGCCTGCCGAGGGACAGTCGCTGGCACCTCCCCTTGGCAGAGGGCCACCCCTCGGCTGGAGACGGAGAGGCAGACTCCTCTCTCGGGGGGCTAGAGGTGTCCCCTGCAGCAGAAGCCCAGCCCAAGGGCACTAGCAGGACTCGTTCGGGCTCGGTGTGTCCAGCTTCTGCTGGAGGGCAGGGCTCCATCCAACCAGGAGCTATTTGGACCTGTGCAAAGCTGGGTGCTTTTGCCAGTGATAAATTTGGTTGCCACAAGTCTGTGAAACGCGCTTTCCAAAGGAAGCCCTTGGTGAACTGTCAGAGGCCGACAGAAAGTTATCGGAGCTGTGGGTGCTACCGGCGGATACAGGGATCACGCATTAAGCAGCGCACGGAATTTTAACAAGCTGCTCGGAGTAGGAGGAGGAGGGTGCAGGTGGGTCTTGGCACATTTTCATCATTTCTTTCCATAACAGTTCTGCATCCTCCTGGGAGCACCAAGCAGCAAAAAGCAAACCGTACGGGCTGCGAACCCAGTGCTGGGAATTTAGGTGCAGCCCCACGTCCCGTCGGAAGGAAAATGCAGAAGGAAGGAAGGGTCCGTTGCTGGGCTTCTTCCCGCTGGCTGTCTGAAGGGACTGGAGGCTCTGCATGGCGAGGCGAGTCAAGGCAAGGCAAGGCAAGGCAAGGCTCCTTCGCGCCGCTGCCCTGCTTCACCTCGCAAACCAAACACCTTGATAGCATTCTGAGTAATCAGCCAGGAAGAGCACACAAATAGCTTAAATTATAGCATTTCCCCAGCCAGAGGACCTGCCTGTTTGGTTAAAAGAGTGACCTCCCTAGCGATCCAACGCCCTCACATGCCGCCCAGCTGTAAGAATAGCTGCAGACCCGGGCTGAGGTTTGGGGAGCGCTGGGCCTCCTCCTCACTCTCCCTCCCAGTCCAACAGCATATAAAAGCAAAACTGCCGAGGGAGGCGAGCAGCCTGTCCCTCGAACGGCGGAGGGAGAGAACGAGGCGCAGCCCGCAAGACTGTGGCTCTCGGCCCCTGCTTGCTCCGTGCGGGGACGATGGCGACCAAGCAGAGAGTCATCCGGCTGTCCACCGAGCAGCCCAGCTACGTGGTCTGCGTGCTGGGCACCGAAGTCTCCATAGACGTCAAAGGGTAAGAGGGGGCCTGGTGCGGACAAGGCCAACCGTGTGGCGTGGCGTGGCGTGGCGTGGCGTCCTGCGACGGCCTCCATGGCCCTCCCAACTCCACTCTTCTGTGATTCCGAGATTCTTAGGGCGTGGGCCAGATCCCTCCTCTGAGTGGCCTATGGCCAGAGAGTGGGAGCTGGCGCAGAGGTGCCACGAAGCGCAAGGCACAGAAACATGGAAACTGAGCGAGTCAGAAGGGGCCTCCCGGGCCATCTAGCCTGACCCCTGGCTCCAGCCGGCTCCGCTCGCGATACGCCTACCTTGTCCTCCAGATCTGCCTCAGGGTCTCTTGACACCAGCAGCTCCTCTAAGGTGCTCAGCTTGGGGGGTGGATGGGCCGTAAGTACTGAAGTGGAGTGGCCAACAGGGGTCTGAAGGGCATCTGAACTTCTGTCCGTCCTTCTTTTCGGAAGCTCACTTCTGCTTGACTGCATGGAGAACTGCGAGAGAGCCCTCCGTGGGCCAGGGGAGCGGAGCCTCTGCCAAGGCAGGGCACCTTTCCAAGGCAGACGTCCAACTGGGTGTTCTGGGCAGCGGACTGTTAATTTGGCAGGCCCAAAGCTACATTTCAACCTGCCTGGATGCGTGGGCAGATGGGTCGAATCAGTGAAGCGCACGTCTCCCCATAAATGTCCCACTGCTATTCCCGCACAGCAGGGGTACTGAACCACATTCCATCCGGGGAAGCTCTCGGGGGCTGCGTGCCCACACTCGGGGGGCCTGGAGACAAGAGGGGAGGGGTCAAGAGGCTCGACATACCAGCCTGGCGAAGCTCATTGCTCTTCTGCCAGCGGGGGGCCATGCGGAGGCATTCCGACCTTCCAGAATGGCGGGAAGGGCACCAAAGCCGGGAAACCAGCGAGGACTGGGAGAAAGGGGTGCGGCCGTCCGGGAAACCTGTCGGCTTGGGGCTCCGCAAACTGGATCAGCCCCAGAGGGGAACGCAGGCGCCACTGTCGAGACGACGAGGAAGCCTCCAAGCAGACGCGCCGGCGTGGTAACCGATCCCTTCCCACAGCCCCATGGCCGGACCCACGGCCAGCATCCCGAGAGCGTGCTCTGAAGTGGGCTTGCCGCTCGAAGGGCCACCCCAAGCTCCTTCCCATCCATACCCTTGCCCAAGTCTCCTGATCCGTGCTTCGTGGGCTGTTCAGCCTGGCTCTCGGGGTGGAGGCAGCTGCGGGTAAAACAAATGCAGAGTGATTTTAATTGGATGTGTATTCCATTTTATTCCATCCATTGTAGTATTTGTTCATCCGGTCCAAACACTCAGGATGGCAGGAGACGTAGGAACTGAACTCGGTTGCGCCACATCCATGGGAAAAAAGTATTAGCATAAAAAAATAAAATAAAATAAAAGCACCTATTTGGGCCTGTAAATGAGTTAGGGTTTCTTTCCCCCTTTTTGCTGCTCTGCTGAACATGACTAGCTCTAGGAATCATGGTTCATGGGTGCACTTTTACAGATCGTAAATCCGGCAGAACCAGACTGCAAGAAAAGAAGCTATTACATGGGTTTATGGTTAGAATTATTGTCTCTCTCTCCCCTTTTAAATTCTGTGTGCTGACAGATTAATATATCTCCTTACAAGCAGCTGCCAAGGTTTCGATGGTGCTAGGCAGAGAACACAGAAAGAGTGGGAAAGATGGCAAAAAGAAAAAAAAAGAATAATCTATAATTTCAGAAGCCTGCTATATATCTTGCCACAGATATACACCCTCGTTCCCTTAAGATCTCTCTCTCATTTCCTCCCTCCCTCCTCTCTCACTCACTTGCTTTCAGATGGTTTTGATGACAGTGTAAAAGCAGCAGCACCTCACAGGAATAAAAACTCCTTACTTAATTGGGAGAGGCTTTAAAAAATCAAAGCAAATGGGTATTAGTCCGTTTCCCCGAAGGTACGAAGCCCTACTCGGAAAGCCCGAATAGCCGGACTGAGGCAGCCCAACGAGATTTCACTGCGGCTGCAGCTTCAGTTTGGATGACCTTCGGGCCAAATTAGGCGGGGGGGGGGCAATTCTGCCCCCGATGTTGGAATGCACGTCAAAATACCTGCAGATGGCAGCAGATGGGGGTGGGGGCAAGCAAGGGGCCTCGGGGATTACTGCTGGCACGGCCGGTGGGGGGTGGGATTCGGCACCCCCCTCACTCTTGTGGTCCCACCTGGCTTAAAACCAAACTCGCGTGTGGAATGGCATTTGCACGGTTCACAGCCTGGCTCGGTTTGGCCCCCGAGGCGGTCCCCTGCGGCCCACAAAGGGGGGGTGCAGACCATTCAGGGCCAGTCCCACCAAGGGGCGCATGAGCCCCCCGAGTGCCCCCCCCCCCTACAACCTGCTTGTCGCCTGCTGCTCCCTCTGGCCCACGCAGCAGTGCTGTCAGGGAGGAGGAGGGAAGCCACTGTCCGCTCGCCCACCTGCTCACACGTCCCTCGGCTCCACGGCTGGCCCCCGTGCTCTACCGTGGGGGCAGCGAGCTGGGTCCCTGCAGGTGCCTGGGACCAGGTGGGCAAGCAGGGTTTACAAGCTGCTGCGCCCAGCTGTCCAGCACGGCCGATCTGGCTAAGCACTTCCTGGCGGGGTATGATTTGGCCACAGGTCCGCCCCGCAGGGCGCTGAGACCTTCGACGTCCGGGGGACCTCCGGCCTCAAAGTCTACGTGGTCTACAGCCCAACGCTGGTCACGGCGCCTGGAGGGGCCGGTCGGTGGCCGCTCCACTCCGACGTGGAGGTCACGGTGGCCCTGAACGGACCCAGCAGCACCGTCAACGACAACAAGGTGAGCGGGAGGCGGCGGGACACCCGGAAGCGAGGTCAGCGGCTGGCCCTTTGGGGCGGAGGGCAGAAGAGCCTGGGACAAGCCCTGCTGATCTGGGAGCAGCAGCTGCGAGTGACCGGCTCGGCCTCTTCTTCGGCAGGTGCGCGTTTCCTATTACGGACCAGGAGGGACGACCCTCATCGCCAGCGCCTGGCTGCACGTCACTTCCATGGGTGAGTCGTGAAGTGCCCCAGAACCTCTCTGCCCTGCGGTCCTTCTGGAGACAGGCGTGGCCATCAGGAAAGGAAGAGCTGCCAGGCTGCCTCCGAGAGGCATCCTTGATGCCGGGCTTGGCATCTCAAGTGACCTTCGTCAGCCTCCACATGGGAGCAGGAGCGACTTGTGGGTCTCCCACCGATGGGACCCGGAGCCTTCCTGGGCTTGAGGGGTTGCTGTTCTCAGGAGAGGCCTGGCTGGTGGTCCATTCACCAAGTATTTCGGCTCAGCGTCAAGGATGTAACTAACATTTAACTCTGGGTTATTTCTTAGCCATCTCCCTGGAGGCTGACACCAGTCGAAATGGAGTGGTGGAGAGCAACGCAACCAACAAGGTCAAGGATAAATCTTTTGCTTTAAATAATAGGGGGCTGAGTCCATATACCTGCAGTGGGGGTCAAAACAGAGGAGCCCATTCGATTAGGAAAAGGTTCCTCCTGGTCCCTTTCAGGACAGATGTAGCCGGGAAATTGAATGAAGGTTACAACTCAAGAAATCCATCCAGAAATGGCTGTAAGGAAAATGGGTCCTCCCGTTGAAATGTGAGATTAGTTTTACTTCACCCATCACTTTATCTTTATGTAGAGCCAGTGAAAGAGGCTAAATTGCTCTTGTAAAAATTTCCTTTGACGACTTTACTGCTGAATGGGGCCCGGAAAGCCTTTTGTGGAGCCATGCAGTGCTGAGGTCAGATTGTTTTCTGGGACGTGGGTCAAATGTTCTGCTCCTCAGGCCTGCGTGAAGCTCGCTGGGTAACTGGGCTGCTGTGAGGATCAGGTGGAACGGAGCAAAGGGACCGTGCAAAGCACACTGTTTTCCTTGCAGGAGGGAAAAGGGAATGGTATAAATATAACAGTGAAAGGAAAAGGAAGTGGCCTCCTTGAAAAGGAGACCGACCAAGTGCGTCTGCTCCCACCGCTTGGTTCAAATCATGCTGGTTCCTGAACGGACCTGGGGGAAACCGGTTGTATGAATGCCGCAAGAAAAGAGGACCACCTCCCCAAAGTGGTATCTGAGAGAGTCCAGACAAACGTGAAGCCATCAAGGCACGTTAGCATCTGCCCCTCGTTAGAGGGAGAGGTCAAATTCATCGGCTTTCTCCCTCCTCTTCCCTCCACAGACAAAATGGACGTGGGGCCCAAATGGTGAAGGAGCCATTTTACTAGTGAATTGTGACCGGGACGGCCCGAGCTCTGGGAACATGGACAACGCTTACCCTTACGTGCGATCCCACGCAGGTACGCGCCAGGTGACATGAAGCACCTGGACACGACTTTAGCCAGGAAGGAAAACCATCACGTGGCTGTCCTGGCATCCTATGGCCACTCTTGAGAAGCGGTCCTTCGCCGTTGGATTGGCCGCCTCTCTTGCCATGTGGGTTGCATGGCTGCTTTTTTGTGGAACTCTTTCCGCTTTCCAAAAGGGCTTCTATTTGGCTCCGAGACCGGGGAAAGGGCGGGCTCTGTAAAATGGCAGAGAAAAAAAAGCTGAGTTAGGGACCGGTGGAGTCTCAGAGGTGCCCATTTTGCCGCGCTCTTTCACCGTTTCACAGACCAACCCTCATCCTTTGGGCCTGCCTGCAACATAACAAAATCTAGCAATGTAGAAACACCCCTGCGTGGCAGCCAGGTGGCCCACCACGGACCAAAGGCAAGCGAGTACACTGACAGCCGCCGATTCAAAGGGAAGAAATAACAGACTTTTATTCAAGACGTGCAACACAGGGAAACAGTGTTGTGCTCTGGGTGGCAGAAGGCCCATTTCCCTTCGGTTTGAGCTGGGGGGTTTAAATTTTTGTAATCTGTGATGCTGCAGGCACTCCTAGGAAGTTTCTTCTTTTATTCCTTCTTACCCCTTTATTGGGCCCCTTTCCCTCTGGCAAGGAGCTGAGATGACTCACCTGGTGCCCCTTCTCCACCTTGCAAAGCCCCGAGGGGTAGAGGTGACCAGGCACTGACCCGCCCTCACCCAGCACGCCCCAAAACACCAGACAGAGACACACCAAGGAGGCAGTGTTGCGGCTCAGGCGCCTTTCTTTTTGCTTTGGCCTGACTCCCAGTTACATTACGTTATCCCTGCTCCCAGGAGCTGGCAGCTGTCTGGAGTTCCGACCCAGAAAGTTCATTGTTCAGGCACAACCATTTTTACCTAGTAAACTGGCAAATGCATCAGTCCAGCAGGCCTTACCTATGTAGAGTTAATGTGCAGGTTCCGTGGCCCCGTGGAAAAAAGTTTTTAAAAAATCCCAGCCATTTCCATGCATGTCCTCTCCACGTGCAATTCCCATGTCTTGTGTTCACAAGGCCGGGTGGGGAGAGAGAAACCCACAATGCAAGACGTTTTCTGTGGTGGAGACAGAGACCTCTTAGGTCATTTTGCAACATGAAAGAGTCCCAAAGCACAGCTCCAAGCGTAGCTTGCAAGGAATTTTGAGTGGGTGTGTACGTCCCTTTCATGTCAGACCTCCGTGACTTGGGCCAGAACGCTGGCACACCGGCCTCTACCTTTTCTCTTCCTAAGATCTGCAAGATTTGTCCCTGGTGCTCCTGAACACCCATGGCCCCGCCGGCGTCTTCAGCACCCACAAGCTGGTTCTGCACACCTCGGTGTTCGATGCAGGCAAAGTGAGAGTCTTCCATGCTAACGGCAAGTTGCCCGTCACTGGCAATGAATTCTCGCCTGGCCAGTGCTGCGGAGACGGATGCGCCTTGGGGGCTGAGGACTGAAGCAGACCCAGAGGGGCTGGATTGTTTCCTTAATTAACGATGGAGCGTCTCTCCTGCCCAAGGCACATGCCTTTTATTCCAAGCACTGACAAAGTAGGTCAGCAGGTCTGCCCCTGCCCTCCGCAGACTGGTGCCCCCCAGATGTGGGGGACTATGGGCCTGTGCTGTTTGTTGTGCCGCTGCCCCCTAAGTTTTCAGGGCTCCCCAAATTTTTCTCAACAAAGCAAAACCAGATTATGATCTGGCCTTTAAGGTCCTGCAAACCAGGGGAATGGCTCCCTCTGCTTTTTCGGTTCTCCTTGTGGACTTTTTGGCTGCTCACAAACCCGCTAGAGCTCTCCCATCATCCCCAGCCAGCTTCCCCAGAGATGACTGTAACTCCAATGGGTTAGAGAAAGCTAATCCATGCAGTACCTTTGAGCCCATTTAAAAACCCTCCTCCACATTTTCAGGGGATGTCGGGGTGCTAGAGGGAGAGATAGCCTAAGACCCCGTGGCCTTTGATGACCTTCCCCTCCCGCCTACCTTTCCCGACTGCTTGCAGACCCAGCTGACGCTCGGCTGCCCACCTCCACTGCAGGGGATTCACCGCCGTCCAACTATGAGCACGTCTTGGGGTCTGACAAGCTGTCCTACGTGGTGAGAAGCACGGACGGGAGAGCTCAGCACACCTTCTATGTGGAGGGGCTTGCCTTCCCTGACGCGGGCTTCAAGGGCCTGGTTTCTCTGCATGCCACCCTTCTGGATCAGTCTAGCCAGGTACCATCCCGAGGGGCTGGTGGCAGGGAGGAAGGGGTCCGTCTCAGCCCATCCTCAGGCCTCCGGCACCTGGCCGGAGTGATGGTTTAGCCAGGATCCCCTGCAAAGCCCCGATTCAGCAATGACGTCGTGGCCACCACTCTCCGATGGTCCCGGGTTCAGTCCCTGATACCTCGAGGATGCTTGTCATTGCTGGAGCAGAACATCTGAAACGTAGGTCCTCGAGCCATAAGGGTCCATGTTGCCAGGCCGGGCCAAAGTTTCATGAGCTGCATCCATCCATATCCAGAGCCAGCAGCTCCCGTCTCTGCCGGGAGCAGGTCGTTTGGGTCTGCGCTGCCCCTTCGAGGCCGAGCCGTTCCAAAGTTAAGCGGCAGCACGCAGAGCTCACGGTGACACACCTCATTGCTGGCCAACACCACCGCACACCAGGCAGGGTGAACACGGCAGCTCAGCCCAGAGGGACCGGGGGATGCCAGGCGGGGCAGCAGGGGCAGCAGGACCCCCACGCATCAAAACTGGCTGGCCCTCCGCCCTGCAAGGGCTGCCTCCAAGACGCCACGGATACCGGCAGGTCTGCTGGGAAGCCCCGCAGAAAGTGGCTGGGAAGTCGATCTGTGGGGGCAGCTCTGGACTGAACGGGCAAGAGAGCTCAGTGGCCGCCCATCTGGCTCTTTTTTCTTGTGGCTTTCGAGCCCAGGATGCAGCGCGGAGTCCTGACTTCACGCCCTCTTCTCCCTCTTCTCTCCCTGCCACATTTCCTCTGCACAGAATCTGCCGGCCACCCCGGTATTCACGGACACCGTGGTGTTCCGGGTGGCTCCCTGGATAATGACCCCCAACACCATGAAGCCCCTGGAGCTGTTTGTCTGCAGGTAAAAAAAAATGCAGGATGAGAGTTCGTTTTGAGGGGTGTCTCATGCTGTACACGAAGCTCATCTCTTCCTACTTCAGATGTTTGCGGGTCCTTTCTGTGCAACCCTCCAGTTTAGCCTCTGTGTCTCCACTGAGAATTTGTTTTTGTTTTTTTAAGACAGCGGGGAAAACATAGGGTTTAACTCAAAAACAGAAGAAACTGTTTTTTGACTCGTGGGTTTACATGACTCTGCTACAGCACCGTGCTGGTAAGAGGCTATGTCACAGAAAAGCTCGGTTCTGTGTTAAAACCAGAAGTAGATGCGACGGATTAAGACCCTCGTGTAGGAAAGCTGAAGGGGGCTGCAACCAGTGTGTGGTAAAGATGGGGACCATCTGGGCGGTCCTGAGTTCCGATGCTGAATTGGACCTCGCTGGGACCGTGGATTTCAATGCGAGGGACTGCAGCTTCACCAGTGCCACCATGAGTGGGCAGGAGGAGAGACTGGCGCTAAACCAGCTTGGGATGTAATGCTGCAGATGAGGCAGGGTGGATGCCTTCCAAATGAATGAAACCGTCCTATGTTAATCCTCCTCCTCTTCCTCTTCCTCCAGCATTAAGGAAGGTCACCACCCCAACCAGGCCTTCTTGAAGGCTATCAAAGTCCTGGCGAAGAAAGCCAATTGCAAGCTGACGATTTGCCCGGAGGTCGAGAATCGGGGAGACCGCTGGATCCAGGTAGCCGCCTTGAGGTTGTGCGGGCAGGGAGCTTCCGCTGCCACGGAGGCCTCTCCTATAAAAAAGGGGGATTTTAAAAAGCCAGCCTCCGCGCACCCAGACCAGCCAGTCGGGGGGTGCACTGGGGTGGCTTGCCTGTGTTCACCCGGATGAGCCTGTGCACGGGCCTGGCAGAGCGTGGCCACCACCTCCCTTTTCTCGTTAATGGCCGTTTTCACAGTGACAGTAAAGTCGAAACAATCTGTCAGGCAATCCTATCGCATTCATTTTTATATTCTGCCTTTTTCCTGGAATGGAAACGCGGACGCGATGGACTTCCACCAACAGGATGAAATTGAGTTTGGCTACGTGCAGGCGCCCCACAAGTCCTTCCCCGTGGTCTTCGACTCTCCAAGAAACAGAGGCCTCAAGGAGTTTCCTTTCAAGAAGATTCTGGTAAGCCAGGAGCGCCTGGCCTCCCTCTTTCGCTGGCTCTGTTACGGAGAGAAGGCCCTTCCCCTTGGTGTCCCCAGAAGAGGCACCCTGCCTTCACATCTGCCTTCAAAATCCCTCCCTCCCCACCCTGCATCTGCCCACACAATGACCTGGGGTCTCCAACCCTTATGAGTCACTGGGCACATTGGGAATGCTGAAAGATGGTCGTGGGCACTCTCACAAAATGGCTGCCCTGGTGAGCGGGAGGGCTTGCCCATTCGTAAGGTGGCCGCCACGGTGGGTACGGCTGGTCACAAAACACTCCTTTTCCAGAAGGGACTCCGATGAGACCGGAGAAGAGCAACTGGCCTGAGATGCTAAGTCCTGGGCCCCACACTCGAACCCGTCCCTCTTTGGCATCCAAACAGGGGTGGTGCTGGAGGCCAGGACCACGTCCCCAGAAAGCCACCCATGCAGCTAAAAACCTTAATGCAGCGGCCCGGCGAGTCTCCACAGACAGACTGCCACCCACAGAGGAGGTCCTTTGCACCGGCCCCTCCGGGCTCTTAGGGCAAAATCAGCAAAACATCTTCGGCCTCTTCTGGAAAAGAAGGGCCGCCGTGAGGCACAGACAGGAGGGGGACGATTCAGCTTTCTGGGAAATATCGCTCCTCAGTAATCCGCTTGTGCTTTACATGTCCACTGTGTTATTCCCTTCGAGGGCCCTGATTTCGGGTATGTGACCCGAGAACCCAGGGATGGCTACGTCTCTGGCCTCGACTCATTTGGGAACCTGGACGTCAGCCCTCCTGTGACGGTCAAAGGGAAGCAATATCCACTGGGAAGGATCCTCATCGGCAGCAGTTTTCCTGGGTGAGGGGACTCCCTGGGCTAGCGAGCTGCAGAAAAGGGCAACCGGGATGGTCATGGGGCGGGATCAGGGCTGGCATTGTCTGGGTGCATCCACCGTGGGGCAACCGTTCGCCCGATTTTAATTGCCTTTTTAAGGGCTTCCAGAGGGGCCAACATTAGGAACAGCTGCATGTGACTCGTTGTTTTGAGGACTGCCACTTGGTTACCCTTGCAAATTCACACTGTCAGAATAAGCCTCCATCGGCCACGTTTCCTAGGGCATCCCTTGATGTACTAAGCAATTATTTAAGAGTGCAGGAGCTGGACCAGGCGGAGAGGGAGTCCATCCAGTCCAGCACTGTGGCCAACCAGTTGCCCAGGAGCTTCCACAAGCGGGGCAGTAGCACCTCCCACCCATGCTCCCCAGCATGCTGCCTCTGGGATTGTGGGTAGCCTATTCCCATCCAGGCGAGGCGCCATGGATTGCGTCTTCCCCATGACTCTGCCCAGTGCCCCCTTAGAGACAGCACCCACGTGGCTGGCTGCCGCTCCATAGCAAACGCCACAGTTCGACTCTGCTGTGTGAGGAAGGGCCCTCCTTCTCTCTCTCCCGAATTCGCCACCAGTTTCGCAGGACAGCCGCTTTGGGATGCCCTCCGAGCAAAGCGCCACTGGGACTAAAATAATCAGGTGCTTAGAAAGCTTTTAGCAGCAGCTACATTTCACAACGGAGCATCAGCACTTTTGCCAGGAGGAAATGTTCCAGCTCACACAGGCAGAATCTTGTTGCAGTGTTGATAAAGCACAACAAACAACAATGAGAATTTCTCAAGAGCAAGGTCACCTGGAGAAATGGCAAAAGCAAACACGCACACACAAAAATTCCAAATATTACACAACACGGGGCAAAAAGTTACACCTTACGAGCCAGTTTCCGTGTTCTGTACTCTCGATGCATTTACGTCCCCACAGACAGCCCCATGCTGGGACCAGTGACCGTTCCTACTTGTCGGGATGCGCGGGGGCACAGAGGCTGCTCCGGGGGGCGTTTTCCCCATTCTACCTGGAGATGCTTCCAGGGATCAAAACTGAGACAGCCCACATGCAAAACAGGGCCTCGAGCCCCAAGCCCCTCTCCATGTGGGAACCTGGTACGATACCGGAATTATATTAGAGGACTTCTTCCACTCCGGGTTGGGTGCGACCTGCTCCGTAACGCCACCTTTCTCCTTCCTCTCTCTCACCTGTGTCCATCCCACCCATGACTAGATCTGGCAACAGGAGGATGGCCAAAGTGGTCCGCGATTTCCTCTACGCCCAGAAAGTTCAGCCTCCCGTGGAGCTCTATTCGGACTGGCTCACCGTGGGACACGTGGACGAGTTCCTGACATTTGTTCCCGCACCCAACAGGAAGGTACAGTTCCGGGGGGAAACGGTGCAACCGACTTCCCTTCCTAAGGAGGCCTTGGGTTTCAAGGCTGGGCTTTCCTTGTCTCCATCAGCCCAGTTCCTAGTCCCCATGTGAGTTGTTCCGCCTCATTCCCAGGAGCAAAAGCAGCACCACATCGCCACAAGGAAACTAAGGGCTGTGTGGGTGGGGGGGTAGAAAGACAACGCGAGGGTCGCGCGGATGCCCCGATCCTGCCCCGCAGCTCACCTGTGTCCTGCCTCTCTCCGCTCTCCTCAGGGTTTTCGGTTGCTCTTAGCCAGTCCCTCTGCCTGCCTGAAGCTGTTCAAAGAGAAGCAGAGAGAAGGTTATGGAGACGCTGCCCTGTTTGAAGGTGAGTCCGGGCCTGTATTTTCACTGCCATCCCAGCCAGCAAGCTCCACTAAAGAAACCTCTTTTCCTGTCTAGGTCTAGGGAGAGTGGGCAGAATCACAGTCAACGATCTCCTGGCAGACACGATCTTGCACGGGGACAGCAAGTACGTGCAGGTAAACGGAGTCCTGCGCCTGCAGCTCTTTTCGGGAAGTTAGCCCTTTGATGGAGACTCCAGAGGTTCTTTCCTCGGTATTAGGCGTATTCAGCCCCTTTCCACCTGGGGGTTGAATTCCACTTTGGAGCAGCTTTTGGAGGCTGCCTCCTCATGGGCGTGGGACTAAAGCATGGACCTCCGTCCTCCACCTCACCCAGCAACAATAAGTGTGCCACTTATGCATGGCTGGAAGCCACAGGTTTGCCGTTTCCCCGTTGCTTTGGTGCCGGTGATGCCATGAGAGCTCCTTTTATCATTTCGTTTAATATTTTGCCGAGGAGGAACGGCTCCAGGTTCGAAAGGGCAAGCTTTGCTTCAGGATGAAGGAACGGCACCGGTACCGATCGATCTGCACTGTGCACCCTTTCTTGGAAAAGAGGTGCATCCATTCCCTTAAGGCCACAGGTTCCACATCACAACTTCCCTAAGGGGTCTTTTTTGTTTTGCATTGCCCTTTGCTAAAAAAAAAAAAAAAAAAAAGAGCAGGACCCCCCACCCCCAATTTCTGTTTCAGTTTTCTTGCCTTCAGTATCTGCTTTTTTATAACACTTGAAGACAGATATTCCATCGTTCTCAGTGAAAATGAGGCATTTTTTCCAGCATCCTGTCGTGGGATCCCAAAAGACACCTAGCAGGTCGGGGGAGCCGGCCACTTCTGGCCTTTGCAATGTTACCTTTTGTCACACAGGATGCTTGTTTTTGCACTGGGCTACTATAAACCTGTATCAGTTTGAGGAATGGTGCTAACCTTGGAATACACCACCCAAGATGGACCGGCCTCCCAGCCGTCCCTTGGGGGCAATTTAGTGGATTCACCCTCTTGGTGAATTGGAGAACAGTGACAAGACTGAGGCCAAGGGGAAGGTCTCGGCACAAGTGAGCAAAAACTGGTGTCAAAAATCACAAACGCTACCTACAAACTTATTTCGACACACAACCCAAGGGGGCAAAAAGCTGGTGTTCTTAGCGGAAAGGGACCACTGTGGCTCTGGGGGAGATCCGGAAAGGGAAAGGGAAAGGAGGGCGATGCCAGCAGAACCATTTTTGGGTTGACTTGGGATTAGTTCAGCAACCATCCTATGATTGATACTTGATATCGTCCGTTTTGAAAGCTTGCGCTCACTTCCGAGAGCAGGGTGGGCAACTTGGCCTACAGCTCCCATCAGCCCCTCTCAGCACAGCCAATGAAGGAACATGGGAGTCGTAGGAAGGAAGCCCCAGTTGGCCTGCATAAAGGAACCCTTTGTGAAGAGCTGCTCCCGGCTGGGCTGATTTCCCCTTTACGTGCCCAAGTAGCCCAGTTTAACGAGAGCCCCGGTGCCAAGCAATCTGTTCTAAATAGGTCTCGGATGACTTTGACCTGCCACCATTTGGACACTAACAAGCTGGCAATTTGACATGGATTACAGACACTCCCTTTAAACAATAACCAAACATATTTTTACACTTAACCGTCCTTTCAAAGAGGCCCCACACCTCTTCTTTGTAATCCTATGGGAGCCACATGAGGAAGAAGGTGTGCTCGCGTTAATTGCATGACTGCCAGCAGGAGGGCTGCGAGCGAACACAAGCTGCGGCTTGCCGCTCTGAGGTTAATTTTCCAATAAACTGTGATGTGACATTGTCATTTTAACCGTACGGGCAACGGAACGGGCAGTGACTATGACTCAGTTGCTAAACCGAGGTTGTGGCCCGGAGGTAACCTGCGAAGGGCAACACGGTCCAAACCCCAAATGTATCGGCCTTGCGCCGTCCTTGCCAGCCACTTCTGGGCATCCATGTCTGGGTTCCGATGATGCCACAGCCCACCCCTTGATCCAGCCCCTGGGTGGGTCGTGGGCACGGCTCACCTGCACGCAGACTACCCCCGGGGACCGTGCCAGGCATACTTTTCGGCGTTATCCTTCTGTTGGTCCTCACTCTGCCTGTAAATGCATTTTTTCAATGTGGCCCTGAGTTCGAACAGCAGCCGAACGGAGGCGAAATGGAGAGGTTGCTTTCCGCAACGGAGCTGGTTTTGTGAGGCAGAATGAAGAGGGGCGGAAGTGCGGTGTTGACCTTCAAAACCGGATGGTTGGTGGTTGGTGGACTTTCAGCGTGATCTAAAAGGTGGTTTGCCGAGCTTTGTATTAGATTAACAAAGAACGGGGACCTTCAAAGCAAGGTAAAGATCTTGCTTGCTAAGAGGTGGCAAAACCTCTTCTGCGGTCACATGCTAATTTTCTAAACCATATTTCCTCATAACTGCTTTTGTTTTATTAGTGTTCTAATAGCTATTTATCTGAATTTATTTTAGGCCAACTTAAAGGAAAAACCCTTTTGAGGTGGCCTGTAGGGGGAAAAAACACAGCCAGCTCTCCTGCACCAAAGACGGAAGTTGGGCACCTTCCAGGGAAACCCTGGAAGACCATTTGCCCTAAACATCTTCTCTTCCCCTCCAGAGTTGCATTGACTGGAACCGAAATATCCTCAAGCGGGAGCTGGGCCTGAGCGAGCGAGACATCATCGACATCCCACAGCTCTTCACGCTGGAAGGCTCCACGGCGATGGCGTTATTTCCGGACATGGTGAGGGGCCTTCTTGCGCCCGCCCGTCATTTTTAGGGCCTTCCTTTCTGCGGGAGAAAGCATTTTCTTTCGTCAGACACAACCCAAGCTTGGGAAAAATGTCGGCCCAGTGCATGAGTGCTGAGAAAGGCAGGATCCCCTTTGGGCCTAAGTGGCAATCGAAAATAAACCGGCCAAGATCATATCCTGGTGTACCAATCCATGGTGCCAGCCCGCTTCCTCTCGGCCACCGATTTGGATGGCTCTGGAAGAAGACTGGACATACTCCGTTTGGAGGAGAGGGCTATCCCAAGTTACTAGTCCTGATGGTGAGATGCCTCCTCCAGTCCCAGAGGCAGTATGACTGGTGTGCCAGTTGGTGGGGAACATGGGTGCAGCTGCTTGTGGGTCTCTGTGGGCAGCTGAGCAGCCACTTCAGGAGCCGAAAGCCAGATCCACTGCGGCCTCCGGGTCGGTGTGTCCCCGTAGGGGGCAGTGGGGTTGTCAGCAGGTGATGCGTCGCCATAAGGATAAAATCGTGGTATAGGCATCCTTGGCTGAAAGCTGAATGCAGACCACAGCTCTGTTACTCCCCACAGGTGAATATGCTCGTCCTGGGGAAACACCTGGGGATCCCAAAGCCCTTTGGCCCCATCATCCACGGAGAGTGTTGCCTGGAATCGCAGGTCCGCTCCCTGCTGGAGCCGCTGGGCCTGACCTGCGATTTCATCGATGACTTTTTCTCATACCATGTGCTGTCCGGAGAAGTCCACTGCGGCACCAACGTCTGCCGGGAACGCTTCTCCTTCCCTTGGTGGAACATGATCCCCTGAGCTGTGTGTGTGTGGGGGGGTGTCGGGGGGGCATTTGGACCAGCCCCCCTCTGCAGACATCTCCTGGGTTGAAGACCAAGGGAAAGACAAGCAAATGGCAGAAGATCGCACACAGACCCGCTTCGACGCCTCCGGGCTGCCCGGTGCTTGGGCGCTGAAAAGTGAGGAACAATCTGGACCACGCGAGTGAAGTACCAAACGTCAGAAAACTATGGGACGATGTTTTCCAGGGATTGGGGGATTTCGGTGCAAGACTGCAGGTGTGTGTGCCTTTGGGGAAGAACAGGGCTTCAGCTGCATTAAGGTGCCCCGCACACTCGCACCTGCCACGCGTGATGCCTCCTGCCCCACGGGGCTGACCCTCGAGTAAGCATGCGTCCGCCTTCTGCTGGACGTCCCTCGATCATGATGCTTTTTGAGGAAGGAATGTTCTGTCCCGCGTCCAAAATAAATACATTTTCAAAGCATTCTTGGGCGTTGCTTCAATTCCTGCAGAGGTTGCATCTGTTCAGAAACTAGCTCCATTCTTCCAGAAACTCCTGCACGTGTGATGATGGGGGGGGGGAGTGAGACTTTGCACGTGCCCAGATGCATTCTGCACATGTTCAGAAGCACCCTGCTCATTGCTGAGTTTGCTGTGCCAAGCCTGAGCCCAGGTGCTTAAAAGATCACATTCAGACCGAGTCTCAATAATTTGAAAGATCTGAAATCCAGACCACAAAATGTATCACCGGCAGGCAAAAGTTGCTTGTAGAAATGGTGTCTGTCAAAGCTGTCTAGCAAACCGTCCAAGCAGCATGATCGGGGACCCGGGGCCGGCTCCAGCGGACGGCTGGGCTGGTCATTCGCTATGGTCCCAAGACTGACAGTGCTAGCCAGCCCGGACCCTGGGAAGGGGGGTGCCTTCCACACAACCCGCTGCTCCCTCTCCAATTCAGAGGGCAACTACAAGTGGTATGTCCGAATACGGTGGCCAGTACAGAGTGGAGCCAGCTGGCCCCTTTCCAGGAACTGCCTCCACATCTGGAGTCCGGTGAAGGGAAGCCGGGCGAGACAGCCTGGCTCAGCCGCTGTGGCAGAACTTGGTGGGGTTGCCCCCAGTGTGGGACTAAGCCATGCTAAAGTGCCCCCTCGCCACATCTGGAAGGAGTCACTCAAGTTATGGCAGTTTTCAGACAAGGACAGACCTCCCGAGATACAGAAAAGCGAAGCGTTTCCTGGCCCCGTGGGTGACGGCCAGGACGATGCAAACCACGCCAACAGCAATCAGATGAACCATCTAAATTCTGGTTTCCGGCACGCAGTGCCAACCGCTCGCAACTGGGCTGCAGGGTGGTACTAAAGAGCACAGGGCAGGACTGAGTTTAGCCAGGGGCTGTGCCAAAGGGAACGTCAGCACAAACCAAAGCTCACGCTCAGGGAGGGCCGGAGAAGAGCAACGTTAGCAGGGGGCAACAAGGGCCTTGGAGCAATCCATGAGCACGGCATAAGCACTCTGTGCTTCGAACTGAAGGCGCTTGAGCCTGAACCTCCAAGATCCGACCCACTGCAGGTCCAGGGACGGACCCCAGGGAGGACCGGGCCCAGCAGGAGGCGGAAGTCCAAGCCTCCTTCCAGCCTGCAAAACTCTCATCGTCCCACCCGAACTGCTCGATGTCACGCTTGTAACCAGTTGCTCAGCTCCTTCGAAGCTGCTGGCTGGTTTCTCACAATCCCATGTTCAGCGCCTGCCAGACAGATCGCCCTTGTCTGCAGTCCTACTTCTGATGCAGATTTGATTGCTAGTATTCTTCTCTCCGTGCTTGCTTGTGTTCCCTGGTCTGGTAACTCGGATCTTAATCGCAAGGCAGCCCCTTCGGGGCAGGGAGGCAGCTCTGGCTGACGACTCATCTGCATCTCGCAAGCTGCCTCAGCTGCTGCGGTGCGGCTTCGGAGAGGAAGTGGGGTGCCCGAGGCCAACACTGCCCAGAATCCACGTCGCTGGTGTTGTGCTCCAGCACTGCCTTGTCCTAGTTACCAACTCTCCCTCCAAATTACCCCGCTCCCATATCTCTTACCCGCTCTGCAAGGGATGATAAATTTTGTCATAAATCAATCCGGGTACTATCAAGGGAGGTTTTTATTGTGGGATCGCCCTACCTTAACCGGGTTTTTTTTCCACAGATGGCTCAAATGAACACGACTTCCCTGCTGTGTCTCACTCCTCCTGCTTTTTCCGCCTTCCTTCCTTCCTTCCTTCCTTCCTTCCTTCCTTCCTTCCTGGAAAAAGTCTGTTAAAGCAGCAAAGGCAGAAGGCTTGCTCAGTGTCGAGGCACTGGAAGCACACCTTGCCCAGGAGCGCCCAGAGAGAACACCTGTCAGCAGCACTGAGTAACGCCGGTGCTGTGCAGCCAGATCTCTCAGCGATCTTGCTAAGAGGAGCTGAAGTGGAATGTAATCCTGGACCCGCTGAGCACCCGAGGGCTTACTTCTAAGTAAACATGCGCGGCATCGGTCAACACGCCATACTAGGAGTTGAATGATTCCCAGCTAGGTTACGCTATTGCTCTCACACAGGGCTTGGTCACCGGTGCATCAGCTGGACGGGGGCCAGTGTCGCTTGGCAGCCATTCTGGTCAGAGCTGACCATTCCCATGAGCAACAGCGATCCAGTTACTCTCAGAGTAGGGGAACCGCTTAGCTGCCCCCTGTTGCTATCGAGATGTGGCCGCATGTCAAAGGAAAACAAACTGCTAAACTCGCTTCGCTTTATGAAATTAAGATTCACATTTAAAGATTCACATTAATCATCCACGTAGAGGATTGCTTCACAGGGAAAACCGAGCCCCATCCCTTCGTATCTGGAACAGCCGGCTCCTTATCTCTGATCTCTAAGCTGCTGAGGAAGGTCTGAGCAGTGGAAGTAAGTCTGGCCAACAAAAGCTTTTGGCTTGCAGTCTTGCATCTCACCAAAGTGAGAGAGAAACTAATGGCTTTCCATTTCCCTTTAGTCATATATGATTTGAGAAGATCCCCAGCGCCTTTAAAAATCTGTTTTTCTGCCCTCTGGCAAGATCCTAAAAGTTGCTTTGCTCAAAGGAGACCTCAATGTGAAACCATTACTTTAGAACGAAAAATCAGGTTTGATTCTATCACAGTTTGGGCCTGAAGAATGAATGTGTTCTATCGGAATGCATTTTAAGTTTTAATGTTATCATAACAGACTGTATTTCTTGCATCTCATTCCTGTTTGACCTCACAATTTATGTCCCTTTTCCACACAGCCCCGCGCCCACGTTCCTGCCAACTGAGGGAGACTAAATCTATCGGAATAAGTGGACTCCAGCCAGGTTTGTTCCCAAAACCACCAGCCCCGAAGGTGCCAGAAGGATCTTGCCAGCCTCTCTTGCAGCAGGCCAAAGCAGCTACCCCGAGCATTCTGCGTGTGGCAAATCACTAGGCTCAGACCCCCAGTTATATTAAACGGGGGTGACAAGCCTGCTGCAACAACCAAAGGGGGGGGGGGTTTGAGCATCCTGGAATAGGGGGTCACGTCACATCTCTTCTCAGGTTTCTAAACTCCATCCCCTAAAATAACAAGACATGGTGCCCAGAGACACAATGAAATACGAGAGCCAATTTTGACAGCCGAGTCTTGGAACAAAGTGGATTGAAATCCATGAAGCAAACTAAAACAATACACTAATGTCTTCATTAGGACCAATCAAAATGCCAGACAAGATTGTGCAAGCTTTTGAGTTCTCTAGAAGGCGCTACAGTTGGGAAACACTGATTTAGCTATTTATTTGCATTTTTAAAGCATAGTTTCTGCTAAATCGGCCCAAGGGTCCTCTGAGCAGATCCAGAGGGTGCGGAGCCTTTTGGTTGCTCCTAGTAAACATATGTCTAAACTTGGGATCACAGGCGGTCTCCTGAGTTTGGACTTCTTGTAGCCGTGGACCAGCACAGCTATCATCTCGGTCTTTTTTCCTTTTTAACAAGTAAAACACACGCGCTCACGCTGGGGTTAACCCGAGAGGCAGAGCAGAGGTCACCCAGTCCTCCCTTTGGCTTCCCCGGGGCGATCACCGGCTCGGCTCGGCCCGGCACTGCCGGCAGGCGCAGCATCGCCGCTCGCAGCCCGCAGAGGCGCAGCAGCGGAAAGCCTCCCGCGGGGGCACGACAGGTTGGCACCAGCGAGGGAGGCACCTGTCCGCGGCGCGGCTGGCCTCCCTCTGGGCACGGACGCCGCCCGGCCCCGCGCTGCCAGCCGATCCTCCCCAGGTGAGCGGCTCCACCTGCGCCGCCAACCCGGCTTCGGGGATCGAGGAGGTGGGATTAGGCCTCCCGCAGCCTATCGCCGGGCGGGATGCAGGCCGGGGTGGCGCCCGGCGGGTCCTGCCTTTTTAACCCCGTCTGCTCGGCGCTGCTCCCCGCAGAGGAGAGGAGGGGAGAGGAGAGGAGAGGAGAGGAGCGGGAAGCATGTCCGAGCAACGGTGGGTCCGCCTCTCCGCCGAGGAGCCGACCAGCACCATCTACGTGCTCGGCACGGAAATCTCCCTGGACGTCTGCGGGTGAGCCGCTTAACCGCTTGCATCGCGCCCGGGGCGGCGACGCTCCGCTCGCCTCGCGTGCCCCAGGGGGCCCTTCCCGGGCACGGCCGCCGGGGGGGCTTCGGGGCGGCGGGGGCTTCCTCTGCGGCCCCCCCGGCCGTGGACGTCCTTGCCAGGGCGGCCAGGCGGGGTCCCGCCAGCTCCCCCCTCCCCGCTGCAGGTAAAGATGCGCCTGTTTACGCAGACCGCCGGCATGTAGCCTGGCCTATTGATCCGGTGCTGCTTTTTGAAAAAGCAGTTTAATCTGTTTTCCCGATAGCTTTCGCTATTTAGTTTAGAGACTTGATTTGTAGCATTGCCAGCTACCCCTGAGCGCCATTCTGCGAGGAAGGTCAGATCGCAAAGAAGGCAGGCTGGTCCAAGAAGAGCGGCGCATGATATTGCCGGGGGGGGGGGGGGGGGTTAGATCTCTCGTTTTAGTACATTTCTACACCGCTCAAAAGCCAAAGCTCTCTTGGTAGAGCAGAAAACATACGCCAGGGCGATTGGCACCACTCTTATAATGTTCTTCTTCATTTAAGATTTTTTTACTGCCTTTCAGGGCAAAACCGCTCCCAAGGCAGCTGCCACACCGAAGCACATAAAAAGATGCACTATTAAAAGTGATAAACGCAAGAAAAGGAAGGAGACGACAAAGTTTGTGCTGCTCCGGGATGGATTTGGCTGCCTGAAGCAGGGCTAGGCAACATAAAACCTTCTGGATGTGTTGGATTACAACTCCCCTAAGCCCCTGACAGTGATGATAGGAGTTGTGTTTCAAGACATTGGGATGGTGGTGCGAAGGCACCCGCCTTCGTCTGGCGGAGAGATTTGGGGCATCCTTCCTGCTCTGTAGCGCCAGCTTATTTTTTCCTGATCAGCGAATGATTTCATTCTTTGTCTTGGCACAGAAGGGCTGATTGCATCAAACCGGTGCAAGAGGCTCCTGTGTAAGTTTAATTTGCAATGTAGTGATGCTGCTTTTGTTTTGCCTTGTCAGAAGAAGTCTCTCCCTCAGCCACCCAGCTTATCCATCTGTGAATTGTTGGGCAGGGGGACTGCCGGGATCTAAGCCATTGGATCAACACTAAAGGTCTTTAAAAACAAAAGGAAAAACTCAGGTTGTCTCCGTGTATTTGGAGCAACGAGGTCGATTTATTAAACTGTGTTTGCTTGTTGCTGCCAAAACAACCAGTTTTCCAGGTCCATGAAAGGCTAATATAGGCAAAGTATTAATGGGCTACAATCTACTTCATCAAGTGCACCCAAGTGTTACCCTCAGTCGGCATGCAGTTAGACGCTGAAAAAGAACCGAGGCAGTGAAGCCAAGTAGCAGCAAAAGGCACAAGACACAGGCTTTGATGGCGTTAAAATTGAAAATGATGCGAAACAAAACCCCAAATAGGCAAGCCTTGCAATCCCAAAGATTGGGAAAACTGGGTGGGGAATTCCGGGAGCTGCAGGTCCTTTCCCCTGACTGCACCATAAATAACCCCCAACTTTCTTCAAGCTCAAACAGATAAGGCTTCAACTTGGTTCTCAGTTCTGCTTTGGCAGTTTCACTCTGCAGCTTCTTTGTAATGTCTCTGCAGAAAGGATGCAACTTTTGCTTAGACCAACAGGAATAATGGGTGTCCAAGTTACAATTTCATGTGCTGCTTGCCTTACTTTGAACCGACCTGAACTAACATTCCAAAACTGCAAAACAGAATAACCGCTTGCCTAGGCCAGCCACCCTGGCCCCCTAAATCTCTCTCTCTCACACACACACAAAACAAACCAAACCCAAACCCATACACCTTTGAGCTGTCATGATTCCTTCTTCAGACAAGCCTGGAGGAACAGGGGGCAAAAGCGCCCCCGAAGCCACAGTGCCTACGTGTCCAGGGTCCCAAAGAGACCGGACACGAAGGGTCTGCAGAAGCAGCCCGCTGAGTTTGGCTTGGCAGGGAAGGACGCGCTGCTCCTCTTTCCTGGGCTGGCTGGGAATCGAGGCCATTCCCGTCCGGCCCGTCTGGAGGGTACCGGCTTGGAGAAGGCTGAACAAGAGCGCCAGTTCTTCTCTCGCAAAGGCTGCTGCATCGATGCTCTTGGAAACCCATCAGCCGACTGTGTGGCCGTGAAAATGGAATGGGTGCACAGAAGGGTTAAGGGAGGGCTAAGCAAACAACTGCTCTTTTATTATTGCCTCTGTTACTGTTGTAAACTTTTATCGTTTCTACTTGTTCCGTTCAGAAGTTATTGTCAGGACTGTGGGTTGGAACAAATAGGTTTCTGCTCGTGCCATTCCATTCAGAGTTTATGTTGCATTTATTTTCAATCTGGCCATTTTGAAATTTTGGCTTCCTGATGCACTTCCTGGACTCTGGAGACTAGGTGCATTTAGCTGTAATAAAAAAAAATGTAATTCCAGCTTTAAAAGCGGCACAGTGATAAGAGGAGAGCTGCAATGCAGAGTGTTCTCTTCGCATCCAGAAACGATCACACAAATCCACTCCTATCCAAAAGATGCTTGGAACTCGCATTTTGACTGGAGCGGCTTATCCTTGGCATCTTCTGCAGGATTCATTTGTGATGCCAACATGGGCTGGTGCCCGGCTGCTTTTGCTGCTGTTTCCGCACAGAAGGTGCAGGGGCCTTCTCAACTCAAGGGTGCCGCTCTTTGGGTACACGGCAGAGGACGAAAGCACCTCCGCGAAGCTCCAAGGGAACACCCGTGGAGTTCTGGCTCCAGGGCAGAATACCCTGTTGCCGGCATCCCGAAGAGCCCATGTGCCTCTTGGTCTTCGGACGAGGATGACTCAAGGGCATCCAACTCTGCCAGTCCTCGTTCTGCCTGCTCAGAAAACTCCAGCAGGACGGGTCCCGCCCTGCCACCTTTCTTGTCTGGTGCTTGCGTGCACTTCCTTCACCCACGCCACCGGGCTGATCCACCTCTCCTAAGGCTTAGTTCCTGGTAGCAAAAGGTTAGGCTACAAGGGGCCGGGACTTTGCCCCCTACCCCTCTGCCTCCTGCTCTGGCCCATGCCACGGAAACAGGGTCCCCAAAAGCTTCCGCAGGCAGCATTTGGCCCCCTGGCTCAAAGAGGGTCGGGGCCCGGGAGATCGGGGCAGCCGCTCCACGTCAGCACTGCAGCAGCCCGGGGGGAAAGGTGCAAAGCGCCTGGGAGCAGCTCTGCCCAGGAGCAAGCGGACCGAGGCAGGGGCTCGGGGCAATGGCGGGGGAACTCCAGCTGCCTCTGGGCAGCACAGCGGGGCAGGTGGCCTCGTCCGCTTTCCTCACCAACCCCACAGGTCACACCACCCACGAGGCCTGCCAAGGCCACTGACTCGGCTCTTGTGTGAGGCGGCGGGGGAAGCAAGGGGTGAGCTGAGGCGGCAGCGGTGAACGATCCTGGCAGGGTCAGTGCAGGCCACACACAACCGAAACCCCAAATGGCAGAGGAGAGCACAGGGACTTCTACTTGGATGCGTCACTCTGAAGAGCAGAGGGGCAAGAGACAGAACGGGGATGTGGCACGGAAAAGGAGAAAAAGGACAGCAAGGCACTCTGAGCCGCCTTTTGGCAGTGGGAGAAGCCACAGAAACTGTCAAAAAGTAAAAGCAATATGGGAGATGATGATGCATCAGGGGAAATGAAAGGAAATGAAGCCCTGGGATCGCTCTTGCTAAGCAGAAGAAACTGGTCCTGCAAACACAGCGGGAGGAAGGAAGGAGGAAGGCACCCACAGCGCCAGGATGGAAAGCAGGAGCGAGCCAAGGCGGAAAAATGGCAGGGCAGCTCAATCAGGCTGGGTGTGAGCTGGCAGCACGCTAATGAGCGCCGAGCGCCGATGTGCCGCTCAGGCCGCACGGCTCGGCACGCGGAGCTCCTCCGGTTGCTGGCTGCGCAGCCTCGCTTTCGCAAGCGGCAGCCCAGGTTCTGCGTGTCGCAGCAAGCAAGCCTGTTCGTGGAGTGGCGGCGGATAGCCGCGGGGCATGTGTGGATGGCTGCCACTTTGCGCCGGGTTCGCTGCTCCTTCTGGAGACTCCCGGCTAGCCCGGCGTCTCAGCTGTTCCTGAGAACAGCTCCAGCACCTGCCCAGCACTCTTCCTTTGCCGCCATCGTAGTGACGGTCTTCCTGGTGGGAGAGCGTGGCATCCCTGCTTGCCCGCGCCCCCAAAATCCTTATGCACAAAATACGATGCTCGGGTAGCATTCTGCTCTGGGCAGCGTTTTTTAAATCATACAGGTGTTGGACTCGCCTGCTTGTCTTGGACTCTCCAAAGTCTCCCTAACAGGACCCCCCCAGGCCCCTTGCCCTTCCTCATTTTTAGCTCATTTCTGAAGATTTTCTAAAATACAATTATTCTTAACGGGGGGCAGGGGCCACATGCTGCCAAAGATCAAAACTGGGCGCGGGTGCTCTTACGTGGGACTACAACCCCTCCCTGCAGAACAGGCTTGAGTGGGGAGGGCCCCCTACTAAAATGGCAGGGATTTGCAGGGGACATGACGCAAGCACCCTCCCCAGAGCTCTGTGGGGCAACGCACAACAGAACCAAATGCGAGGAAAGCTGCAGCTGGGAATGGTGTTTTGTTCTTTCAGATCAGCCCCTGCTGGGGCCACGGGCTTTGACGTCTGGGGGACGCCTGGCGTCAACCTTTACATCGTCCACAACGCAGAGGTCCTGAAGATCCCTTCCTGCGTGCCCAGATGGCCCCTCAACGCCCGGGTGGAGGTGATTGTCACGATGGATGCGCCGAGCACTGAAGTCAACGAAGACAAGGTGAGAGGCTCCGATGGAAGGGGCTCTTTGCCCTGGCCCAGGCGGCGGCGAGGAGGGAGGGGCGGGAGACGCCGGGCCCCGAGCTCTGTGGTGGCCCACAAGGGGTCGCACGGGGGAGAAAGCAGACATCCGGGAGCACGAGCGGGGGCAGAAGGCCGAGTCCCTGAGGGAAGGGCCGTGGAGGGTGCCTTGCTCACAGCCCTTTCAACCTGAGCTGGCACGGGTGTGCGGAAGAAGTGCCCCAGGTGAGAGTCCGAAGCAGGGCGCTGGCACCACCAAAACGTGATCTGGTTTACAGTTGTGCTTTCCTCTCCCAAGAACCTGGGGGTTTTAATCCCATAAAGGCGGAGACTTTGGCTGGAGAGAGCTGCCCACCCATCAGCTCATTTTGTGATCTGCAACCCAACTGTAGGGTTGTTGTGGCTTCCTGGTATTTGTGCAGCGTTTCCTGATTCTAAAGCACTGAAATGCTTCTCCTACGGTTAAGTTAGTGGCAAGAAGAGCTTTAAGACAAAGAAGGCTGGTATTTTGCCTACGCCTCTGCCGTACTGCCCTCCCTGCACCGCTGGAACGCAGCTTCCCTGACGTGGAATTTGGCTGGAAGAGATTCCACGGCCCAACGTCTGTCATGCTGGGATTAGGAAACAAGGTTTCTTCCCAACAAATCTGAAATGACAGGCCAGAGGCTGTAACATTTCAAAGTGGTGCTAAGTTTACTGGATGGATGTGCCTTAAACGTGTGCTGATATGAAGAACTTTGCATGAACTGTACGAAGAGTTCCGCTGAACTTCCTCATCTTGGCAGGTCAGAATTTCATACTACAAAGAAAACGGGAAGACGTCCATGGCCAAAGCTATTCTCCACCTCACCTGTGTTGGTAAGTTTGCAACTGGGCAGATCAGACTGGAAGGATGTTAGAAGAAAGCTAGTAAAAATGACAGAGTGGTGTTTTTACCAGCTTTATAAGCTACCATGGGTTTAAAACAGAAAGGGGTTTAACAGGAATGACAGTTCTTGAAATTCTCTTGAAATAACTAGAAATCTAATTTCAGGGGGTAAAATCCCCGATCCTTATCAGCTCAAGGCAAGTAATACCTGCAACAAAATTTTGCAGTATGAAGTGCTACGGCTCCATTTCCAACCACTCTCTCTCGTTCCTGCGCCTCACTCCAATTCCAGCATTCCACAGCCCCAGAGTATATTCAGTTCCCACTGGGTTGCTTCTGACAACCCAGTCCCCCTTGGGTTACTTTCTAAAAACTGCCCTTTTGCAAAAGACTGCCCTTACCTCTGTCCTGTGGGTACATGGCTGCATAAAGAACAACATTCACAGTCCAAATGAAACACAAAACCAGTTTCCCCATCTCTGCTATTTCCACAAAGCTCTCAGAACAGCCAGCTGTCTCCCTATAGCTGAGTTCAGCCCAGCCCTGGGATAAACCAGTTTAGTAAGCAAGCAAAAAGTAAACAACAGCACTTACCATCCAGCAGAGAGGGCCCTTGGAAAGGAGGGTGTCCCGGGAACAGCAAGGAGTCAAGGCAGGAGGAGCGGAAGGCACGCTGTCCGGCTCCCAACTCGAGGCTGAATTTGCAGGACTTCCACCTGCACCCAGGGACAGCTGCAAGCTGTTAGCATGGGAGCCTTCCTACTGAGGAGGCCTTTGCACATGAGTAGGCCTTTGGTCCTCAGTAGCCTGGTTGCCGTGGTTACGGAGCTGTGCGCTTCAGCTGTGAGTTCTGGGCCTCCCTCCGGCTCCGGAGCGCATGAGGGGAGCCCAGCATCGTCTGCTTCCTCCAGCTCTGTGGGGTGCAGCCTCCAGAGCCCTCACTCAGGAATTCCTTGGGGCCCGTGGCTGGAGGACCCTTTTAGCTTCCCTGGAGATGCTCAGGGAGACGTTCAGCTGCATCGGGAGGACTCGCTGCCTTGTTGGCCTGCATGGCATGGAAAGCCACCACGGGCTCGAGGCAGCTGTGGACCTCCACATGAAGCACAATCGGGGCGTCACCACAGAGAAGGCCCTTCTCCGGGTGGTCCTCATCAGCCAAAGCGTGTGCAAGCCGATGGCCACTTCTTCAAGAAGGCGCTTGCCAGTCCTGCCCTCCGTTTCACCAGGTGCTGCGCGTTCGCAAGAGCACGGACGAGGTGCAGGCGCTCACGCATCGCTTTGCATAACTTACAGGCCTGGCAACGTGCTCTTCCCGGCAGACGTGTTCTCAGAAACGCGCAGCCCTGCCTTAGGGCTGGCTCGCCCCACAGAGGCTGCCTCACGGCAGGCATGGGCTGCGGGCACGCCAGCCGCTGAGAGGACTGGGGTCTCTGCTGCGCCCGCTATCCACCGCTTCCCCTATGAGGCAGGTTCACCAAGCCATGTCCAGTCATCTCGGTGTGCTCACGGTACAAGTAAAATCTAAGCATGAAGTGGGGAAAGCACATCTTGCCCAAGGGAGATGCAGCCCTCTTTCTCCTGTTTTCTCCTGCTTAGAAATCTCCCTGGATGCCGATATAAACCGTTCTGGAACTGTGACCCGGAGAGCGAGGAATAAGGTAGGTGCGGGGGCTGTTGCAGCCACAACTCGCCTGGAAGGAGATGGGTTGAGGATCTGCGTGTTGTACACCGCAGGGCTGCAGAAATGTCCCCCAAGGGTCCCAGTCCAGCCCATGGCGCTTCTCGTATGGCCATTTGATAGTTTCCTGGTTTCTGTGCAGCCCCTGCCCTCCTCCTGGGCTTATTTGCAGTCAGGAAGAGCTTTAGGCTGTTTTGCCCGTATTTTGGGGATGCCGATTCCCCATTTTCCCTCCAACTGCTTCGCAATGGCATTGGTCTCTCTTCCTGAAAGCGTAAAGGCGTGCATATGTATGTATGGTCGTGCTTTCCGAGGTGAGAAAGGGCCCTGCTGGTGGAATACAGCTCAGCATAAGAGCTCTTAGCACGGGGATGCAGTCTGGGCGTTTGCCCCAGAGGGACGCGGCGTCACGGTTCTTCGCTTCCAGCAAACCAACCGGTCAAAAAGAGTCGTCTTCTGCCCTGCAGGAGCAAAGCCAGTGCAAGATTTTGTGTTTGTGTTTTAGCCTTGGATAGGGATGCTTGCTTGTTAAGCAAAACCATGTACCGTGCAGAGTCCACAGCCGTGCCGAAGATACGTGGCTGCCGGGAGGCTCTTGCTGTTTCCTGGGGCTTGAGGCTCCAGCAGAGGCGAGGCCGTCCGCGATCGGAGGGTGTGTACCTGCAGGGTAAGCCTTACTCAGCACAAGCTGAAGGCTGGGACGGTGCATCTGGCAGAACCTGTCCAGGCAGGGCAGGAGGGAAAGCAGCTGGCAACCGGACCCAGAGAACCCCGGACACGGCCTGCTTCCAAGCCCAAACCCAGCTGATCTAGTCCAGCACTGCCAGCACTGACCGGCAGCAACGGCTCTTTGGGGCTCCCAGCAGGGGCTTTCCTGCCCTGCCAGCAGCTGCCGCCAAAGACCAAACCTGGGCCCTGCTTGATGTAGAAAACGTGTCCCGTGACACAGCTCTAATAACAAACAAACAAACAAGCCCAGCCGCTCCCCTCAAAGCGTAGCCAATTAGCTAAGGCACAGATCCTGCATCTTGCTGCCCGGAGAAGCTGGGGAGCAGGTCTGGGGCCTCCTCGTGCCAAGCACAGCTCCCGCCTGCGCTGTGGCCTCTCCCCAGTGCGCTGAGCCCCAGCGCAGGGCAGCCTCAGACCTCAAAGCTGGAGCGCACGGCAAGGAGAAACAATTCCCGCTTTGCTTTGCTTCGCTACCACCAGAGGAAATGCAGACTTGGCTGTCACTGCCTGGATTTCTTGTAGTTGTGCCTCGCTTTCCTCACGCGGGGAAGCACAGTTCTAAGGAAGGATGACAGGAGCTGCACAAAGAAACGCCGTAAGGGCAGTAAGCAAACATGGGCCCCACCGGCCCAGTGTCTGTTTCCACAGTGGGGAAGTTCACGCAGGGTGTGAAGGCGAGAGCGCGCAGGGCAGTTTGCCTCCTAGGCCCCGACTCTCCGGTCCCACTTGGGAAGGGGATGACGGGAAGGATGATCCAAGGTTCTAGCCCACCGAAAGGCAGTGCTGTCTCTCCTGTCGCCTTTGGCCCCAGCTGATCTCTCAGTGCTTGCGCCTAGACTTGGCCCGTGTGGTTCAGATCAGAAGGGCAGGGGAGAGCGCGAGGCTGTGCACTTGTGCGTGAACGCAAAGGACGGCGCCTCCCCTATTTTGCAGAAATTATCTTGAAGCGGCTTCCCTTAATTTCTCCTCTGTGCGATGGGGCTTGTTGCCAGAACAGATGGACGGGCTTCGTCCTGTGTTGCCGTGCGGCTCCCCCCGCCCAAGCCTCCGCTTTGCGACACAAGCTTAGCTCCCCGGCGGCTGTGGATCACGGGGCCCCTCGCTCGGCCTCCCACTTGCTGCCGCAGCTTCCAGGCTCGGGGGCTCCATGGGTTTCATTTTTGCCTGCAGAAAAACTGGACATGGGGCCCCAATGGCAAAGGAGCCATCCTCTTGGTGAACTGTGACAAAGACGACCGGGAGGCGGACAACATGGATAACAAAGACCTGATGCTGCAGTCGTTCGTGGGTGGGTAACAGCCCTGGCCAGAGCATCCCCTGGGGGTCCCTGGAGACCCGAATGTGGCACCTGTGGGGCCCCACAAGGCTTGTTTAAAAATTCCCCATTTTTTAAATACAAGGATTTGTACAGAGCCTTTCTCCTGCATGCGGATAATATCCGTACAACTTTCTCAAAATTATACAGAAGCGTCAACAGAGGAGGATTGGATATCCGGATCAGTGTTCATTTGGCGGTGGCACCTTTTATGCCACGCAATCAAATACTGAAAACACTGTACAAGTTTCAATTCATTGCACCGGGTGGCTGTTTAATCCAGTCAAGTAGAGTTGTTGCTGTTAGTATTACTGCATCATTATACTTTCAACAATTCACAAAAATCTGCATTCCTTTAAGACTTGGGCCAGCCTGCAATTGGAGCTTTGTACCAGCCAAAGAGCTGGTTTGAAACCGGGGGCTGTGTGGTCCAGAGAACCACCAGAAACTGCAGAATACCAAGTTAGTCTCTTGGTCCATCTAGACCAGTATTGCCAACACTGTCTGGCAGCAGTTCCCTACCTGGAAATGCTGCCAGGGATTCAAGCTTTTGTAAATGTGCTCAGAGCTACAACTCTTCCCAGTAAGAGTAAGCTACAACAGTAAGATTCTAGTCCTCATGGTTTTTCAGGAAGGGAAGATTTAAATAGGAACATAGGAAGCTTGCTCACCCTGGGTGAGGCCTGGATCTGTCTATCCCAGTGTTGGCGGCCATAACTCCACAAGGGTTGCCTGGGACATAATCCAAGCAGAGCTGCAGCTCTTCTAACTTGCCCATGTCCTCTTCAGACCTCAGGGACATGTCCCTCATGATCTTGACAACGCGTGGGCCTGATGACATTTTCGATGACCACCAGCTAGTTCTCCACGTCTCGGCATCTGACGACAACAAAGTGGGTGTCTTTCATGCTCAGGGTAAGTGTTCTGGATCTGTTGAGTCTCAGGGTTGAAGGAAACGGGGAGGGCCAGGGCAATGCTATCTGGGGCATGTGCAGAGTTTAGGAGATCCTGTGCATCTGTCAAAATGCATAGGGCTGCACCCCAAGTGGGGCTAGTGGAAGGGTCCCCCCCGTGTCGTCTTTTTGTACATCTTGCTGGAGCCGATGGTGCCGGCGACAGCCGAGATAACAATGCGATTGCTTCCAAATAAACAGAACGGTTGTGTGTTGTATGTGGTTGTTTTGTTTTCTGTAAGCTGTCCAGAGACTTTAGTATTGGGCGGCATATAAAACTTTTTAAATAAATGAAAAAAACTCAGGTCTGGTCCATGCACTTCTGTTTTGATTTGCAGGGAAGAAGCTGAGCAAATACAAGCATGTCCTAGGCTCCGGCAAGCTCTCCTATCTGGTGGAACGCTGTGGCCAGGCCGAGGACTTTTTCTACGTGGAAGGACTGGCTTTTCCTGACACTGACTTCACAGGTCTCGTGTCCTTCCACGCCACGCTGCTCGAGGCCACCACTCAGGTAGGACGAGCCGAGAGGAGCAGCTTGTCGAAGAAAGGAGGGGGTGCCCGGCTTGCACACACGAGGCCTTTGGTCCCACTGAGGGAGGGAGGGTGGGTTTTGGCAGCAAGCCACCTGCAAGCAGCTGATCTGTCTTCCTCTTTCGTGGAGGCAACATCACAATGCCATCCCGAGTTGGGCGTTTGTGGCTGTGCCGGGCTCTTTTGGCCTGAGGGCCGGATCTCATTCTGGGGAGGCGCTTGGGGTCAGCTCGTTGCTGAAGCCACCTTGCCAACTCCTCCCTTGGTCCTTCTCTCATCGCTCCCATTTTCCCTGCCGCAGGAACTCCCCGAGGCACCGATCTTCAGCGACACCGTGGTCTTCCGTGTTGCCCCGTGGATCATGACCCCCAACACCTTGCAGCCCGTGACAGTTTATGTCTGCAGGTAAAGGGCTGCACAGAAACGCGCGCGTGTGTGCAGGAGTGTCCGGAGCTTCATGGACAACGCACCTGGAGATCGGGGATGGTCTGTAAGCCCAGGAGCTTGTCTGGGGCTGGGCCAGCAGAAGGGAAGCGCACGGGGCTGAAGGCCAGGAAGGCAGCCTCTGCTGCCTCCTGGAATGACATCAAGGCCAGGGGAGGCCAAGCTGGTCCATCCAGGAGGCAGAGGTGGCTGGCTTCCTTCTCCGGCTCCAACCGGCACGTGCCCCACCGGAGCTGCAGAAGAGAAGGGAAAGGAGGCTCTCTCCCGCCTCCCGTCTGACAAGGAGCCACCAGACACCAGTCAAGGAGGGACGCTAGGCAAGGAAGATCAGCAGGGCCCAACGCCCATTTAAGGGGGACGTTCCTTTGTCCCCCCCCGACTCATAGTCTCCAGTAGCAAGTGCACGCAGGCCATGCAAACTGCTGGCCATCACTTCAAATGCCTGCTTTGGAACCAGTCAGAGCAGGCAAAATATACCAGGCCGCCCACAGGCCCCTCCGAGAACACGATCTGCTCATCTCTACGGTCATTCATTTGCCGTTCTCACAGCCTGCTTTCCTCTGGTGCAGGAGCACGGAACGGCGCGCAAATATGCATGTCTCAGGGACCAATAAAGCGACAGCTGCATCCTGTTGCAATAAAGGAGTGAGGCAGTAATAAGGCAGTAATAATTCAGGCACAGAAACAAGCAGGCTGGGAGCCAAGTGCCGGTGTAAATGCAAAGACCGTTGACTTACTCAGCGGGGGATAATGGGAGCTCACGAACGGCAGTTCCCACTAAAGGTGCCCTTCCAACTTCCCACCCTTCCCAGTGCATCTACTGGGGTGGGAGAGATGCAGAAGGGGAGTCCCCTGTAGACCGGAAGATCCTAGTTGGCTGATGGTGGGGGAGGCACCCCGCCAGGGGTCTGGTGGCTCTATAGGACAGAGCAAGACCTGAAATTGGGCTTGGAAGCTGGTGGGGAGCCCGGGCAGATCTTTAGGACCGCATAACACGATCGCCTCTACGCTCTGCACTAGGTGCCGGCTCCGGCCCATCTTCCCGTGAACCCCCATGCAGGAGCTACCATAGTACCCTACCCAAGATGTTCTCAGAGCATGGCCAGCGCATGTCAGAGCATCTAGTTCATCTAGATGCTTATCTGCTTGCTCATTTGGTTATGAGAAAAACTCAAACCTTCCCATCCCCACTGAAAGCGTCCCCCCTTTTTCCTGACTTGGGCTTCTCCAACCTCTCCTTGCGCTATCCAGTGTGAAAGACAACGCTGATTTCGTCACAGATGTGAAAAAGCTCACCCAGAAAGCTGGATGCAAGCTGGTCATCTGTCCGGAAATAGAGAATAAGGGTGACCGCTGGATCCAGGTAGGAGGCGGCGGGGGGAGGGGGCGAGAGGCGGCATGCCAGGGCGAGAAACATCAACAGCAAAGCTGCTCCTGCTCAGGGCCTGTGAGCAGTGGGGGCGTTGTGCTGCTTGATCACTCCGGAAGATGTGAACATGTTTCTCAACACTTGAAGATGTGCACGGTCGCGGGACGGGGGAATTATCGCGGGATGTGCGAGGGAGGGGGCATTATTTGGAATGCCTTTTAAAATTGGAGTCAAACCTCGTTGCCTTGGCCCCTGAAGTGGGTCGGTATCCAAACATTTAACCTCAATGCTCGGCTCCCCGGCATGAAATGGTCGTGATATTCTCGCTTTCTTTCATCTGTTATACCAGGATGAGATGGAGTTTGGTTACGTACAGGCCCCGCATAAGTCATTTCCGGTGGTTTTTGATTCCCCAAGAGACAGAGGGCTGAAGAACTTTCCGTTTAAGAAAATTTTGGTATGTCTATTCCCTCCACCCCAATATTCTACCTTAGGATCTTAGCTGTTGAAGCAGTACATCTCTGCCATGCCGTGGTCTGCACTGTGGCCCTATTTAGAGTGGATAAAGCAACCCAAAATAGAACCGTGAAGAGCTCTGAAAAGCTCTCTCTAAACTGGAAAGCGAGGTCCTGACAGCGAGTGTAAAGCGAAGCCCATTGAGGCCCATTTCCCCCAGCTCCAAAGGATGGGATCTGATGCTAGCAGTGACTGCTTTTGCATTGGCAGCTGAGTGAAAATGAGATGTTTACATCAGGAGGAGATGAGCAATTCCTGCAGAGCGAGAGGTCATGCGCCATCAAGCATTATCTATAACAAGGCAACCCAAGTTTGCAATCAACACTTTTCTAAAAATCGTACATACTGGCACCCATTTTCTTCCTTTTGCATTGTAGTATTCTGGCACACCTCCACTTCTTCTTCTTAAATGCTTTGGGCTTAAAAGCCTCGATGTGTTAAGAATAATCTAATTCTGTTCTCGTTCGCTCTCGTGCAAGGGCCCGGACTTTGGCTACGTAACCCGGGAAGCAGCCCAGGAGAAACTGTCCAGCTTGGACTCATTTGGGAACCTTGAAGTCAGCCCTCCAGTGACCGTCAGGGGCAAGGAGTATCCTCTGGGGCGGATCCTCATTGGGACTTATTTTCCCACGTATGTGGAGACAGAGAAACGGTCAGCGCTTGTTGCCAACCTGACGGTCTAACTGAGAATAAGTCTGTCTGTTACTTTCCCCCCATAGGCTGTGCTGGCTCCCAGTTTTGGAGGGCCCTTGGGGCAGGACACCGCCCGCAGGACTGCTCCCTTAGAGAACCTGCTTTTTCACCACCGTGGCCACCAGCTCCTCTTCTTCCTCAGGGCCACCATTTGCTTGATTCATGGACAGACAGACAGACAGGAAGGAAGGAGGCTTGGCATCTCCTGCTCCACCTTCTTGCCACCACTGCTGCCTGGACCAGAGCAAGGATCAAGTAAAGACGAGCTGGCAGTGGAGAAGAGGAGAGACTCTAGGGAGGGACTTCTCAGTGGGCCCACCTGGGGAAGAGCCCCTCAGCAGATGCCCATCCATACTTACCTTTGTCACCTACCCTGTAAAAAGGTTGTTATCGAAAAGAATGCTGAAGCAATCAGTGCTGTAACATGAACGCCCCGGCCTCTGCACTGGGGGCCACCCCATATTTTTCCATCCGATGGAAATATGGTGGCGAGGACATGGCCTGCCCGCCCACCTTTCCTAGGGCCACTCAACAACAGTGTTGATGAAGACTGGGTCAGAACATGAGATGGGCTGCGTGGTTCTTCACCGTGGACACAAAACCCTTAACCAACACCCTCTCTCTTTGCTCACTAGGGCCAAGGGTGACCAGGTTGTCAAAGACATCCAGGACTTCCTGTATGCCCAGGAAGTGCAGTCTCCGATTGAACTCTACTCTGACTGGCTGTTCGTAGGTCACGTCGATGAGTTCTTGACGTTCATACCAGCCGGTGATAGAAAGGTATGCATGATTTATGACTGGGTTTCTCAGGTGCAGCCCAAAGGCACCTTTCCATTCTGTCGCGTCATATTAAAAATAGATTTTTAACAGGGAAGTTCTCTTGCTGCAAAGCCCAGGGGTGCCTCTTGGCACCATCTTGTCTGGGTTCAGAAGAAAAGCTTTGTGCTTTGGAGCTCGGAATCTAGCTCCCTCTTTTATGTGCCCGGGCAACTTCAATTTTCTTTTGGCTTTAGAAGTTTGCCTTCTGGGAAATTAATCTTCTGAGACTGGCCATGTCCTGCACAGCAGCTGTTTTGTGAACAGGTTGTTGCACACACTCATTTTGTGAGAGCATCGACAGAGCCCTTTCAAAATTCTGCAGGCCCCCAAAGTTGGGTTTGAAGCCTCTGGTCCCAATTGCAAGTCCTCCCAGCCATCTCCGCTCGCTCTCTCTTCCAGGGTTTCCGCCTGCTGCTGGCCAGCCCAAGCGCTTGCTTCAAGCTGCTCAAGGAGAAGAATCAGGAGGGTTATGGAGACGCCCTGATGTTTGATGGTAAGGCGGCTGCTTCCCCCAGTCACTCCTCCCTGCACTGCATTGCAGGGTTGAAACAAGAGTGTTCCTGGGAAGGGCTCTTGCACCAGGCACCTGTTGTTGGCTGCACGTGCTCTCTGTCCCCAGAATCTCAGTCCCCAGAATCCACCGAGACACAACAGTCTGTGAGGCCGGGGCCAGATGCCAAGCAGAGTCCAAACTCAAGCTGCTGCTTGATAGACATTCACAAAGCCATTCCAAGTGCTTTTGTTCTCCACCAGTTTCCTGTTTTTTGCAATGCTAATAGGGACCGAAACCTCCATTCCAAACCAAGCTACTCCCAAGTACCTTGCATTACAACAGAAGATGATTTATCACTGCAGGGCAGGGGGGGATCCATCCCCCTCAGAGGCTGTGAACCAAGGGCAGAGATAATCATGTGAAGTAATGTGAAGGGCGCGGCACCCCTGCTGATAAAAACTAAGTCCCGGTGGTGTTGCACCTCCGGAGTCCTGGCTCCAGGAGACTCTCTATCTCAGAGGAGTTCATGCACTTTGACTCCTTGCTGCCAAACCAAGCCAGACCCCAAGCATGTGCGTCACGGAGAAGCCAGCGATGTCTCTCTTCTTACAGGGCAGTTGGGAAAAAAACCCATTTCAATAAAGAAGATCCTCTCCGACAAATCCTTGAAAAGCTGCAACGAGTACTTCCAGGTAATCTTCACGTGCCCTTAGGAACAGCAAGCAGCCTGGCAGGGGCTCCGCTCCAGCAGCCCACTGCTCTGCGCCTGCTCCGATACGGAGATGGAAGCCTGCGATCGCAGGGATGGAGGGACACCATGTGGCCGCGGGAGGGACGTCCTGCTGCCGACGAGAACGCCCGGTGTGCAGCACCATTCAGGCCGCTCAGGGGACAGAGCTGTGAGAAAGTTTGTGGGCCAGCTTCTCTGAGGAAGCAGTGGGATGATGGGGATAAAACTGCAGAAAGGGAGGCGGCGAGAAGAGGTCAAAGGAAGGAGCAGGGAGTGGAAGGGCCTCAAAGAAGTTCTGAAGAAAGCTCTTGGCACTCAGAGACGACGTCCTTTGGGTCGCAGCCAATCTTAGTCTAACTCGCAGATGGGCAGACAGTAGGCCTGGATTTGCTGCTAAATCTGTGACTGGCTGCACAACATTGGCAAGGATTTCCATCTCCTAATCATTTAGCAATGGCAGAAATAAAATGTCTCCCTTTCTGCCATGAAATATTCTGCTCAAGTGAAGAAAGCTTGGGGAGACCAAGACGATGTGGGTGCAGTAGGCCTGTAAGGTCCCATTCAGTTCCCTGCTGGTCCAAAGCATGAAACAGATACTCAGCCAAGATGCTTTGAAAGCCTTTTGCACCAGGCACAGCTGGAACCAGAGTGGATCCTGAAGTCTGCCAATCTGTGGTCTAACTTACACGGTGTTCATTTCAATACGTCTTCATGAAGTAGGTCACAATCCATAGGGAGGGAAATGAGCTTTCGGGTGACCAGAGAGACATGGGATAAGGGGCTAGAGCGGTCAAGGAGCAAAAGCCAAGGAGAGAAACAGGAGAGAGAAAAAGACTCTCCAAAGGTCCAGGAGAAAACTCGCTGGTTGCTGCTTGTTTGTGTGCCAGTGAAAAGACACTGAGGCCGACTGGATGAAGTTCACGGGCAGACAGAGAAGGAAGGAGCAAGATGTGGAGCAAGAGCATTACCAGGCAGTGTCAGAGCCACCGATCTTGAATCGCAGCCATCCCGCATCCCGTTCAGGGATCTAAGCCCACGGGGCCAGAGGGCCCTTGCGCCAGCCACCCTCCATGGCCCTCTCCCAGGGAGTCTACCTTCTCCCTGCCTTTCGTACAGCCCGTTCTTGCTCCTCCTGCTCATGGCTCCCACCGGCTTGCTGGACAGGCAGAGCGTTCGGGAGCAAGCAGGCTGTGGCATCTGTCCCCCCACAATGACCCCCGCCCTCCTGCATTTCCGCCCCCTCCAGAAATGCATCGACTGGAACCGAGACGTCCTCAAAGAAGAGCTGGACTTGACGGAGGAAGACATCATCGACATCCCTCAGCTCTTTGAGAGGTCGTCTTCTTGCAAAGCCCACGCGTACTTCCCAGACCTGGTGAGTCCCCATCCTCCAGCACAATCCTGCCAGCAAGTTTTACGCTCCGGTTCCATTTCCCCCAAACACCTTTTGTCTGTTGCATTGTCCCCAAATCCCTAAGTGACCTGAGCAATTCCTTAGACAGCAGGAGAGGTCTAAAGAGACTCTGGAAGGTGCTTTCCTCTGGACTTTCGACTTTTGTGAAGGAGATGGAGGCAATGGTATCCTTTTCTCATGAGACTAGAACCCAGTAGAGATATCTCATGAAGCTCACTGGTGGTGGTGGTGGTGGGTTCATCCAAATCAGAGGAAGGAGTTAATTAAAAGCATGGAATTCACTGAAGGAAGATACTGTGATGGCCACCAATCTCCACGAAGAGGGAACTGGACAAATTCATGTGAATTAACAATAACCATTAGTCCAAGTGACTGCAAACCCTCCAACATCAGAGGAAGAATGCTGTGTACTCCAATTGCTGGGAACATGGGTAGGAGGGTGTTGTCCTGTTCGTGGGCTCACCTTTGAGGCAGCTGACTGGCTACTGTATAAGCAAAATGCTGGACTAGCAGGGAGCTTGGTTTTATCCCACAAAGCTCTTATGTTCTTACAACCAGTTTCCATTCTTTTTACATTAAGGAAGCTGAACAAGATGCATGTTTTTAATTTGGCATCCTAAAATTTAGTGAAGGTTTTAAAGGTTGGTTCTGATTGGCCTTTGTTTTATGGGTTCGGGATGAAGGATAAAGCACCTACATGGGGCTATGCCTTCCTATGGGTCTATTGCTGAGTCTTGTTCTCTTGCTTCCAGGTGAATATGATTGTTCTGGGGAAGTATCTGGGCATCCCCAAGCCATTTGGACCCATCATTCATGAGCAGTGCTGCCTGGAGGCGGAGGTCCGCCGTCTGCTGGAGCCACTGGGATTATCCTGCACCTTCATCGACGACTTTAAAACCTATCATGCCCTCTACGGAGAAATCCACTGCGGGACAAATACCCGCCGAAAGCCCTTCTCGTTCAAGTGGTGGAACATGACCCCTTGAAGGACCCGAAACCAGCTGCTGCATCGCTTGTGCTTCTCCTGAGCTTACATGCATAATCCATAACTCCCCAAGGAACTGTGTTGATTTATCTTCGTGGTAATATATGAAGGTGTTTGCTAGATTTCTTCCGTCACCGGCTGCTGCGGCTTTGATCATCTTCAAGGCAGAAGCACACCCTTGTTCACACTCCCGTCCTAAAGCCAGTTGTGGAGGTCCACCAACACATTTCATGCCCCGATTGTCCCTGGTTCGCAGAACCATGCGTGCCGTTTTCTCATTTATGATCGCCTGCCAATCTCCGTGCCCAGCGCTCAGTGGGTGCCCTTCAGTCTTCTTTCTGCAAGACGCAGACCTCGACTGCCACCAAGAGATGAACCAAGCAGGCAGACTTGACCACCAGTTGCAGTCCCTTAACAGGTGCAGATCACACGATTGTTGGCCCCTTCTTTCAGTACCTCAACAGAAGCAGCCCAGTCTCTTGGATAGTTGGGATTATGGCTGGGTGGATAGTCAGGTTGGTGCTTTGCCCGTAGGATAAGGCAGGCCCTTATCAGCAGACCATAGACATAGCGATCAGAACCTCCGCCCCAGTTCTCATCTGTGTAGCACAAAGACCAGATGTGGGGTACAGGAAGCGATTCTGACTTGGGGAGGGAAGTCCAGAAATTTCTGCAGTTCTCCTCTGACAAGCAGCGCTGCAGAGGCACCAGTACCAGAGGCTTAACAGAGCGATGAGTGTGAGAAATATGCATTTCTTGTGTGCGCACGAGTGTGTTTTTAAAAACTCTGGATCTCTATTATAGTTGATTTTTTTAAAAGAAAGCTTGCAGGCATATATTTTTCACCCAGAAGGGTTTTTATGAGCTGTTGAATAAATGTTAAGAACTGAGCGCTGACCAGTGTCACATTGTGTTTGTGAATTAATACACACTCCTTTGTTAATTTCTAGATCCATACTAGCTGTGTGCTCAAAAGGGTGTCAGCAGTGAGGGCTTGGGGGAAAAAAAATTTTCCCCAATTTTCCAATGAGTCTCTGGAAAAAGGTTTCCCATCCTGTCTTCCCTCCTCTGATTTTCCATTTTTCCCCAGCCTCACATCCATACAGCTGGACAGCCAGGAGCTGCTTCCAAGGCCAACACTGTGATAAAAATGATATAAGCAAAGCATTGACTGAAAAGAGCACCCCGATAATGGAAGGCCTAAAATGCTTTGGAGAAGCGCCTGCCCAGCAACCGACGGCTCCATGTGAGCCCTCCTGGAGAGGGCATTCCACAAACGGGGTGCCCAGCATGGCCCCAGCTATCGGCCAAAGAAGGAACCGCTGCGGGGTGTTTTGCTCCTCCTGGCCAAAGACAGACTCATAAGACCCTTGAAACTAGGAAAAAGTGGCTTTCCTGCTCCTCCTTTTCCTGTCCCTTTTTCCTTTTTGGTGTTCTAAGATGATCAGCCCAGGAGCTGTTGGCTAAGGAGCAGAAGTGCTGTCAGAAGCGACGCATGTGCTCAGAACGGCGGCTTCAGTCTCCACACGCCACCGTCTGGCAACTCCCGATATAACAAATGAGTGCTGTGGGATCTTTCGGATTTGATTCTGGGATCTTGGCATCAAATATCGCTCAGTCCCGTCTCCTTAAAATCTGAAGAGTTTGTCACGTCCCATCACAGCCTTAAGCAACAGCTGGCCGCAGTTCGAACTTCTGCAGAATGGTCTCCTCTCCGACCTGCAGCAGGTGGCAGGGACCGCAGGGTCCTCCTGCGTCAGACCCAAGGGCCACCCAGGCCGGCGTTCCCTTCAGTGAGCGCAGCAGCCCTCTCCTGCCCGTGTCCCCCAACACACAGAGCCATGCTGGCCGCCACAACAAGCAGCCATCAGGCCCACTAGCCAAGGACGTTTCTCTCCCTCCAGTGGCCCAATTCTCTTTTAAAGCCATCCAGGTAAGTAGGTAGCATGACCTCTGGGAGTGAACTGCACAGTTCAGTTCTGCACCGTGCAAAGTGGGCTCCTCCTCCTCCTCCTCGGTCCTGAATCTCTCACCTACCCACTTTGCAGGATGACCCCACTGGGTTCCGGGGGGGGGGGGGGGGTTCTGCTTTTCCACACCGTGCATAATTCCGCACACTCCATCCTGCCACCGTTTTAAGAAGCTAGTGGGCCTCAGCTGCTGCATCCTCCCCGTGCGGCGGAGTTGCCTCAGCTCTGGATCGTTTTACTCGCCCTTCCTCCAACTCCTGTGGTACCCAGTGGTGCTGAGCGCCGCAGGCGAGCCGGCGCTCCGTACTTACATGTGTTGCGTGCTGTGTAATCCACTAGAATCCCATCCAATAGTTCCAGAGGTTCAGGCTCTTCCGTGCTGTTGGAACAGTACAGGCGGAGGGAGGGAGGGAGGGAGGGAGGGAGTTATAGCCTACACAATTCCACTGTTTATTTAAACATTTATTTTGAGAAATATAAAAAAAGGAAGAGGGAAAAAGCAGGGGGAGCAACTAGGCTAGGAACTGTTCCCATCTCGTGTAAATCCAAAATGATTCTTTTCTGTCTGAGCTCTTTCCCTTCACTCTCCCCCAGCAAGGAGAAAGAAAGAGGCATCAGAAAGGTCTGCAACTGGAGCATTTGCACTGGGTAGGCAGAAGGGAGCCCAAAAAAATGTCCTTTTCTTTTATACAAACACACACTCTTTGGTGAAGAAGTACCTCTTTGTCCTGTCCCTCCTTCTGCCCCTCCCCCCAATAAATTATTCCTAAGTCTGTTTCTCTGCTTGCTTCTTCTTATGTCCATTCCCCGGGATCGTTTTGCAAAAGGGGTAGGTGGGAGAGAAACGAATAGCAAACTTGACGTGAATCGACAACAGGAACATAGAAGTAAACTGCCCACATACACATTTTAACCAACTTTAAAAAGAATAAGGCAGATAATAATGCAATATTCAGACCCTCCTCAAACCGTAGGATAACTCTCCACCTAGCGTTTCTGCATAATCCAACCTTCCGAGAATTCTAGGCTGGTAAAAGCAACGTGGCATCAGCTCACGTTGCTTCTAGAGACTTCCTGATGCAACCTGTTAGCAACAAGATGCAACAGGAGCAAAAGGGAAGGGGAGAGAGGGGGGTGTTTATATGGAGACAGAGCAGTGTGTTCTGTTTACAAGGCACCAACTTTTTCCGACAGCGAACAGAGGAAGAGCAAGTAACTGATGGAACTACGAGGGGGATGGAAACATACCACCTGCAAGGCTGGGGTAGAAATGTACTTTTCTGGCTTTCCTCTCAGAAGATCAGGAACTACTGTTTTTTACCCAAGATGCTGAGAATTCCCTTTTTGCAAGCAACCTCAAAGCTGGCTGCAAAACTGCAAAGGGAAGGACTCCCGAAATCAGGACCCACAAAAGTGGGAACTTGGGTGTGAAGGTTGTGCAGAAATCTGCAATATGGGAGATTGACTCCAATGCAGGTGGAAATTGCCCAAATGGCTACATATGCAGCTCTCGAATCTAATTAAAGGAATTCCCTGTACAATTCCAACAGAATGGCCCAGAAAATACTGAGGAAACAGTGGCAGAGTAGGAAGTGAAGATGTGGAGGCAACCAACAGACAGGCGGGGGATTCCTTCAAGCAAAGTCTCTGCCCCATAAAAAGGAAACGGGGAGATCACTCCAGCTCAAAGGACGCTTCCCCCCTATTCAGCTACACATTCATACCACTTACGATGACGCTGGAGCGTCTGAAGAGACCTGGCGTGGTAGGCAAACTTCACAATCGCAAACTCGTGGACAGTTCTAGCTGTGAGGGGAATCCCTCATGCAGGAAGCAGAAAAAAATACAACGGCCCAACCCATGAAAAGGTGTGGTGATGTGCAGAGAAACGACGTGTGTACACTGTTCGTCCGTGGGGGTGAATTTGAAAAAAAGTCTTATCAAGTCCAGTCTTAAATGCCAATGTGGACCATTCCCAGTGGATTGTGGTCTGTGGGGCTCTGGGTTGAGGCCAGGAGGCAGAGAGAGAGAGAATGGACGAGGAGGGCCAGAAAAGATTAAAAAATGACCAGTAACCCTCTGGCAGGGGGGTTCTGCTTCCTTAAGAACAGGAGTGAAATACTGCCACGGGGCTGCCGTACAAAGGTGGAAACCCTTTACAGTTGGAACTTGACCAGTTCCAACCTGCTGAAATGCTGCCGGCCTGCCGCTTAACCAAAACCATCTTCACACACACATAGACGCACCCAGAAAAAAGCACTGACAAACGGCTCCGCCATGTCCACCAGAACACGAACTCAAAAAGACAAGCAGACCTTTTCGACGCATTTCCCCCTCCACGACCCCCACCCCAAAGCAAAGCAAAATGCGAAATACAAAAGAAATTATCTCATGGAAAGGATGGAGCAGGCCGAGGGGTGGGGGGAGCGGGGAACAAAGTAACAGGGAGTTAAAACTTCAAATTGCTTATAAAACCCGGCATCCCGGGCAGTCTAACAAAACGCGTATCGGTGTCCGTAATCTCTCTGCATACGGCTTTCTGCGTCCCAGTGCACATTGGAAGTGGCAGCTGCCTCGTCGAGGGGGAGAGGAGGGGGAGGCACGCACCCTGCGTCAGAGCGTACGGGGGTTGTACTCGGGCAGCTTCTTCAGCCTCTCCTTCTCGGCGTCGCTCTCGGCGCGGGCGATCGCCAGCGAGTGGGAGTAGCCCATGGCCACCTGGACAGACAGACAGACGGGCAGGCAGAGCGGGCCATTCAGGAGACGCAGAGCCTGCGGCCAAATCCCCCCCGCCCCCCGGAGTTCACGGGATCTCCCTCCCCTCCCCGCCCCATGCCCCTCACTCGGGGGCTTCACGGCTTACGTGCAGGTCTTTCTCGTTACAAAATCCCTCCGTGGGTCAATCACTGGCATGAGAAGAATCCAGCTCCCATGGGGAAGTCCTTTGTGTGCTGGGGATCCCACCCACTTCCCTGGGAGCATCTTTGAAACGGGATTTGGCCCTCACACTGGGAGAGGCTCAGCACCCCGCCCCGCAGTCCACACACTTTGACCCCGAACAAAGCCAACATTTTGGGACCCATTCTGGAAATGTTGGCGGCTAGGCGGGGCCCTGTCTCCCAGAAAGAGGGCTTCCGTGCCAGTTTCTCTGCTCTCACTTGCTCTGTGTAGATCCCATCCAAGGTCTTTACTTCTTGAGCTGCAGTGGAGGACTTGGGCTTGTGGTCTCCGTAGCCCTGGGGAAACAAGGGGTGGAATTCGGTCTGCCTCTGGGCTGGAGCCGAGAGGACGCCCCTGGCCAGCATTTGAGAGAAGAAACCAGTCTCATGGCTGCTCCACTCATCACTTCCCCCAACTTGCACCTCCAGAGATTTCTCTCTGTCTCGAGGAGAACAAAACTTTGCTTTGCTAATCTCTGAACAGCGGAAGAATTCGGAATGCCCCTCCCTATCAGGCAACTGCACTGCGTCCGTGGCTTAAGGGAAGGCAATGGCGTTGCATGTCCGCAGAATGAAATGCTGGCCACAGACAGCTTGGCACACCAACTACGCACTTTTTATTTATTTATTTGGAATTTTTGTACGCCGTCCCATTCGCATAAGCCTCGGGACAGCTTCCAACTTCTGCCCGTCAGCCTTTGCACCTGCAGTAAACACGAAGCAAGTCCGAGTTTAACTCTGTTTTTGGGTACATCAACAGCAGAGGCTTCTTTTGGGGGCAGGGATGTTACAGATCCAGGACTTAAGCCTAGAAGGTGCCCGTCTGCATAAAAGGTGCTTATGCTAATCTGTACCTATATCTGCAAATTTGGAAAAGAGAACTAGAATTTGTTTACATTTTACCAGCGGCAAGGACAGCCATGAAGTCTGCACTGAGATAAATTCAAATCAATTTGTGCCTTACCCCAGGTCAGTTGTTCCTTTTCAATTACAATTAATCTGCAATTTCTCCTCAACGTCCCTCCACTTCTTTCCCTTTCCCTCTTGGAGGGCGACTTAGCTGCACCTCATGCAATTAAGCTTGGAAGAAGAGCTTCCACCGACACGAATATAAGGTTTTTTCCTAGCTTAACTGCCAAGAGGGGCACAGTCAGCACATGGGAAGAGAGGGTTAATCCCTTCACCAGTCCGAACATGGCGATTATGCTAAAGAAGACCCCTCCAAGGGCATCCATGGGCATCCAGTATTCCAGGGAACAGATCCGGGATGCAAGGCCTCCGTGCCCAGGCCGGGCAACACCCTTGCGGGAAGGCTTTCGGGAAAAGGTAGAGAAGTTTTTCCTCCTAGGAGACAGAGCGTGTCCACAAGTGCGGACGCCTCGAATCAGATCTGTGATCCGGGCACAAAGCACTTGCTGAACGACAACAGGGCCGGCTGCATCGTGACGCACGTTCGGCCAAACGTTCCTCTTGAGTGAGAGAGAGAGAGGCCACGGGCTAAACGTGGCAGGGCCGAAGAGCCACGAACGCCCACGACTGTCAAGGAGGGTGGGGATCCACTGGATTTCCTGGGTCCAGCTTCCTGAAGAGTGTGCCCAGCCCAGCCTTTTGGGCAGCCGCAGCCGATGAGGAAGGGGGTCGCTGGTCCAGCAACTGAGGATTTACAGACTCCCTCTCGGTTCAGCAAACCGGGGAGGCCTGGGCCGAGCACAAGAGGAAGCCTGTGAAAATTCGGGGTGGGGGTTCGATAGGGTTGATGTGGCTCCCCAAGGAGCCCTCTGCCTGGACAAGGGAGGAAGCTGTGCAAGGGACTGGCCTCCCCAGGGGAGTGGGGAGCGGCAAGAGGGCCAGGGCGCCCCCACAGCGGCTGCCTCCTGGCATTGTCTCGTCTGCACCACGCCAGTTTTCTCTTCGGCGTTTTCGAAGGTGTGGCAGCCGCATGCAAATCGGGGAGGAAGGAAAAAAGTCAGCGGTGCGAAGACCTTTTGTCCTTGGTTTGCGGGCGGTGCGAGCACTTGGGCGTTGCGCAGCAGCCAGGCCCGGCACTGGTGAAATTCCCTGCACTCTGGCCAAGCTCAGCAGCTGCGTCCGCCTCCTTACCAGTTCTCCAAAGGTTGGAGATGGGCCCCAACTGATGGTGCTCTCATCTGCGGCCACTATAATACTGCTCTTCCTGAAAAAGGTACACAAAGGACGTTACTCCTTGGAAGTCCCCGGGGCAGCGCTCCTCATGGATCCCCCGCCCACCCCTTCCACAACAGCCCAGTCAACGAGTTGGGCCACGATGTAATCAGTCCAAAGTCCCTCTTTCTATCAGGGCAGCACGTCTTCGAAATCCTAATCCCAATATTCTGACCCAAGGAGGGCAGATGGCTTTTGCTTTCTCCGAGAGCCCCAAGATCTGCCCAGAAGAGCCAGGTGCAAAACCCTACTTGTAGAACAAGATGACGCTCTATTTCCTTCCACAGAAAAAAAATATCCAAGCTCCCTTCATCTCCACAGTTATGGAAAGGGGGTTATTTTATAGCTGCTCTTGTTAAAAATAGAATAAAATAAAAAGGTTGGCAGTTAGACCTTTCTGCTAATCTACGGCAAGTCACCCAGAGATCGCTACCAATCGATCCAGATTCACCTTCCACCATCCCTGCTCTGGCCCTTTCAGGCAAGGCACTCTTGACGATAATTGAATAGAAAGGCAACTGAACAGAAAGGCATGATGTAACTATTTTGAAGGATAGACGGGTCGTTTTCTTGTGGCAGACGCAGCGCTGGTGGGTGCTGCCTCCGATACAAAAGCCCTCCCTCTGCCTTTGCTTGCTTGCATGCAGTGCCTGGGCACGTGAAATTTATTGCAGAGATTAAAACTCTTGCCTCACCCCCCAAATGCTCCACATAAGCCAGCACAAGGTAAATCCATTAGTAGATAGATAAAAGAAATCTTTGAAACAAAAGGAGCGGTTCCAAAAGAACCTCTCAGCAGATTAGAACTGGAAGCGGCTCTATTAAGAGACAATTCCCAAAGTTATTGAACCCTGAGCCCTGGTAATAATGTAAAAAGACTTACGGGGAGAAAGAGGGCTCAGGGGCATTTAAAGCAATCTTTGTAGCTTTCGGGGATGGCAAATCTCTAGATTCTGGTTCTGCAGCCATGACTAGCAGGCTTGCCTTGCACGAAACAGTTTTTAAAAAGGAATGTTTCTATAATTGTCCTCCTCTCCCACCCCCTTTTCTGTTTATTTTAAATGTACATAATCACAATTTCTTACCCACAAGCCAGACTACGGATTTTCCAGCCACATAGATCCTGCACGGTTTTGGGATACATCGTCGACTCCCGGGAAGTGTTTGTGGCTCCCCAGAAAAAGAGGCCACCTGAACAAAGAGGAAAGGGTGGGTTTGTTGCTGTCCTGTTTGTGGATTGCAGCAAAGAAGCTCTCTGAACATTAAAATACATCGCTGTTCTGATTTCCCTGCTAGCAAGAGAGAGAAACGAGGCATGTCCTTTCACAATGCTAGAGCTTAAAACTGCCCTGTGAGGCTGAATGGGCAGTTTCCAAGACAGAAACTAGAATTATACAACTGGCATAACTGTAGTATTATTGTGCAAGAATGGCATTTTATTGTCATTATGATATTATTGCAAAGAAATAATTCATTGAACGCACAAAGAATCTGTGTAAGTTAACCATTGCAGGATGCTGCAAAGGCCACTGAGAGAAGACAAATGTGGAAGGTGCCTTAGGAAGAAACAGACTTTCGGTCCAGTGTCTAAACTCAGGGTGGGCAACCTCACCATGGGCCAGGCTGGCTCGGGGTGGTGAGAAGCATTTGGACAAAACATCTGAGAGAAAGAGGGGGAAAGGTGTTTGTTTACAGACATGAGGTGGGGTGGGAAGAGGAGGGAAATCTGTGAATTAATTGTAATTGAAAAGGAAATACTGATTTGGGGTGCTGGAATGCGGGGTCCAAATTCATTGAAGAAAGTATCTGAGGTGAGCCGGATGAGAAATTAACCAGCGATCCCTTTAAAGAAATGCTACTTGTCGTCCTGTGAGCCCCAGCCCGACTCTCACAACTGCCCAGCAATGCATTCTGCACGTGTCTCTGAGCACCAGATGCTGGGATCAAGGAAAGGCAAAGGATCTTTTGGACCGTCCACCTTGCTTTCCAGAAGCTGCTTACTCCCCCAGGCGGACAGCAGGCAGTAGTGGATTTAGGTTTTAATTTATTCTGATGCTCCTAAATTGCGGGGAACTTCATTTAGTTAAAACAGAGTTTTTCCACACCTTAAAGACTAATGACTGTATTTATTTGGGCATAAGCTTTTGGGGCACTGTCCTTTTCTTGAGGTGTGTGCATAAAGAGCTTTCGCCAGAATAAATAGATTTGGTAGTTTTGGGGTGCCACAAAATGCTTTGTTTTTGCTGGGAGCCCCTTCTGGAATTACTGCATTTAGGGAGCATTCCCTGGATATGATCTTCAGCCGCATCCAAGCTAGCATTTGCGGTGTCACACACGTGCCTCCGGCAACAATTACACAATGTTATTTTTGTCTGTTTAAAATACCGCAACATGCTGCAAGTAACTGAGCTGGTCACATACCTGTTTCGCTGACCGCAAAGGAGCAGGTGTATCCTGCGTAGGTCTGGGCTGCCCCACGGCCTGGGAAGTCAAAAAGCTTCACTAGCCGCGGCACCATCTCGTCTCTCTGCTCAGCGTGGCCCAGACGCCCGTAGCCACCAAAGCCCCAGGAGAAGACGCGCTTCTGTGAGTCCAAGACAAGCTGAATGGAGAGGGGAAATATCGGGTGAAAAACCAGATGGCGGGACAGCAGCTTTATTTGCGGGGATGCAAAGATGGATGCCTTTGTACTTCCCTGTCAGGGACATTCACATACACCTGGACAAGGTATTTTTGGAGTACCTCACGCTTCAGTCCATCACAAAGCTCCCTAACGGGAACAGGCATTTAAAAGGTGCCTGAATTTTTTCCTCCTTCAGTGCTTCTCTGCAAACGCAGAAGAACTTTGAATCTGAATCCTCCGTGCCGGCTGAAAACCATGAAAGCATTAATGAAACCCCCTTTCAGTGCCTGGACTTGGCCTGCTTGGGCCAGAGCTGGCTCACACGGTGGCCGTGGCAGGGCTCCTGGGAAGGGCCCACGTTCCAGCAGCGGCCCGTGCCAAGAGCCCTGGAGTCCCTCCTCCTCTCCCCCATGGCCACCTGCATGCTCTCCAGCCTCTGGATCAGCCCGGGGTGGTGGTGAGGATCAGGCAGCTCCCTGCCTGCCGCGAGGGATGGGGCCCATGCCGGGGGCTGGCACTGAGCACTCACTTCAAGATTCATCCTCCCCTGCTACATGATAGACCAGTGTTGGCATGAAGCTCCTGGCTTATATTAAGCCAGAATTCTGCATTACATCCAACCAGGGGAATCCTGGTGTAAATTTGGCTAACAAAATACGAAAATAATATTGTTTCTTATTTTCTTCATAACTGCTGTATACCGCTTCTTTGGCTAAAAGGTTAAGCGAGTGAAGAACAAATTTAAAACAATAAAAACTTAACATGGTAAAAAGAACATCAGAAACCGTAAAACATTCAAAACCATGTAATGTGAAAAGGCAAGATTAAAAAGACATCTCCTCACACCTTTTCTAAAAGCCAAGGAGCACGGCCCAATTGTGATTTTTGAGGGCTGAATTTCAGTTGGAGGCACACGGAAGGAAGCCCTTTTGAATGTGCCCGGCCAACAGGCCTCCGTGAAGGTGCCCCTCAAAATGCTTCTCCTCCAGATCTCGATGCCCGGGCAGCTTCAGAAGGAAACAGGCAGTTCCTCAGAGAACCAGGTCCTCCGTGACTCACAATTTTAAAGGGTCAAATCAACACTCTGAAGAGCTTAAAAAGCAATCTGCACCCAGCAGAGGTTCTCCCCGTCGGGTGTTACGTCATCCTGACCCTATGGAGCACTTAGCAGCCCGGATGTCACATTCTGCCCCAGCTGACGCTCTCCGGGACAGCCCCAAACGGAGTACATTGCGGTAATCGAGCCCCCAGGCCTTACCGTGTGGTTCGCTCCACAGGCCACATCTCTCACGACGACGTTTGGGACGGGCAAGATCTGGCCGTCTTTCGTCTTTTCGATGAAGATGGCGACACGCCGGGGAACAAGCTCACAGTCATACTCTATTCTTTGGGCCCGGGCAATGAACTTCCCGTCGGAGTTGTGTCCTGTGGTGGGACAGAGAGGGGACTGGTAGGAGGTGGCTGCGAGGGACACCCTCCGTCTTGTTCCTCCAGTCAAGGCTTGGGCAGGTAGCAGAGAGAGCGTACCCAGCTGTCCATATTCAGGGCATCCAAACGAATACAGGTTTCCTTTGCAGTCCATCACCATGCTGAACTCAGCCCCACATGCCATCTTGGTGATCGGCTGTCCGTTGTACATGATCTAAAGAGGGGTAAGTTTTAGGAAACACTGAAACACACTCCCTTAACCCTTTCTGAGGACCACATGCCCAAGCAGGCAAGGCCCGCAATCGCGCCCTCTTAAAAGCTGACATGGATGGCACGACATGTGCATTTTAATGTAATTAAACTCACTTTTCGGGCAAATCCTGAGTTTGGAATTTTGAAGGAGGCACCAAAATAGTTCACAGATTGGGGGCATTTCCAGCAGCGGAAAGAGCAAGTCTCAGTTAGGTGTAAGAGGCATAATCAGATCCTCGTACTGATTTCAGAGTTGAGGGTCTAGTCTTGGAGCTCCGCAGACGGCCACCCCTCTTCCCCAGCCTCCCTCACGTTTCCCCAACCGCAGACTAATCGTTTGGTGGCTCCCCGGCTTTTACGCAGTTCTTCCCTGTTCTAAAAGACTGAAAATCCCCTCCCAAGATTTAGCTACTGGCAACGAGAGCTTTACGCTTCAACGAGAGGGCACCTTGGCTCTGCCTTGCTTTGCCTTCAGCTTGTCCAACTGGAATAAGGCCCCGGAGGCGCCTCTGAAACCACACCTATCCATCTGATTCAATGCCTCTGATTTAAAGTTTCCTGTGGCTTCAACAGTAACAAAAAGCAGGGGGGAACCTACCTGGGTGGGACTGGGGACTGCATCGGTCTGATTGCCAAGGCCTAGCTGTCCCATCTTGTTCTCCCCAAAGGCAAACACAGAACCACTTTCTGGAAGGAAGAGACAGAGCAGGTTTCCCTGTTATCTTACCCCAGAGATGCACAATCAAAGCCTGCCTCTTGCTGCTCCAGGTTCGGTGGCCACGAGCCACTGGCTTGTCTTCAGCAGAACCCTGCGTGACTTCAGGCCCAGTCTATGGCTTCTGCCCGCCCCTCATTCTCCTTGGCCACTTGTTCTAATGAACCCGATGCCTCTCTGACCTCTTTTCTCCAGGTTTCCAACCCCACCAGGTTCTTGGTTCTTTGTACCTGGCCCTCTTTCATCTGGTTCCTCTGCTCACTCAGCTCCTTGACCCTGAGCTGAGATACCTGCGAACAGCAGAAACCCTTCCTACTCCCAGGCCCCGGGCAAGGTTCCCCCCCTGGCCAAGCCAACTTCGTTTCTCTCCGACGCTCTATCACTGACTGTTGTCTCCTGAACAAATGGAAAGCAGGAAAACCGTTGGTGACCTCACAGCAGCCCAGGCAATGGCAAGGGGAAAGGAAGAAAAGGGGAGTGGCGACACGTGTGCACAGACGCACGCACGGTACCTGTCAGGGCTAGCGTGTGGTTTCGCCCACAGGCTGCCGAGACGACGATTTCACTGCCAAGCACCTCAATGGGCTTCGGGGCGTCCACCCGCTTGGTATCCCCATGGCCCAGCTGGCCTTTGTCGTTCCGTCCTGGAGAGTTGCAAACACACACAGAAAGAGCATGTCGCCAAGACCACGCGGTGCCCGTGAAGGCACACTCCATCTTTGAAAACAGGTATCAGGGTATTACCCAGGTGCAGCCAGCCAACCAAGTGGCTAGTCTGGGGGCGGTTTTCTGAGAAAACACTTTAGGTGCTGCTGCTCCATCCAGCCCGGGACTGTCCAGTCCAGCCCTTCCCACACTGGTGCCTGAAAATGTGTCACGACTGCAACTCTCATCAGCCCTGGCCAGCATGTCCAATGGGTGGGATAATACGATTGCAGGCCAACTCATCCAGAGGGCACTCGGCTGGGAAAGAAGGGTCAACAGCACGGCTGGTCAAGCGTTCTGGGCCGTGGCCACATTCAGCCATTTGAGAAACTGCCCCCTTCCGCCACCACAAGATGGCGTCACAAGACGCGGGGCAAGGCACACGTCACCTGTGCACAAGGCAGAGGTGGGGGCCGGGCTCCACCCTACGGAAGAGCCCCCCTGAATGCACTTTTCCACGCCTGCCAACTTTTCCTATGCCTGGGCCAGCACAAGGTTCTCCCTCCGCCAAATTAATGTTGTTTCTCTCACCAAAATAGCTCTGTTTTTGTTTATCATGATGCTGCTGACTGTTCCCCCAAAGTAGTCAGAACGCTGGCAAAGCGTCTGTGACAGCCCAGCACCCGGCTGATGGTGAGGGGAAGGGACCGGAAAGAAAGGCACGCCACATACACACTCTGAAACGGGCTTGTGAGTTGACTGAATCTATTCACAGCACTCCCAATTATTGGGAAAACGTGTTAATCACAAGAAAAGGGGAGTGGAGCTGGACACCTTGCTGGGTGCCAAAAAAGTTGTCCGGGGGCACATTACTGCCCACGGGCTCCGTAATATCTGCTCTCTAGTCTCTGCTGACTGGAAGGGGTTTTTTAGGGTCTCTCTCAGCCCCACTGCCCGAGATCTTTTGGAGTAGACCTGGGGGTGGGGGGGCACAGGCCCTCCCACAAAACTCTTGCCCGAGACTCACCCCAGCTCCAAAGCTTTCCCTCGGTGGTGATGAGGAGGCTGTGTGCTGCGCACGGTCCTGAAATCACGGTCCGCACCTGGACCCCTGAGAGGCATCCGTACCGGTGGGGCCCCCACAGGTTCTGGCCCAGGTTACGGTATGCAGCTGTGGGGGAGAAGGAAGAGGAGCTCTTAAAGAAAGAGCAGGCCGGGATCAAGATAGTTCTGCTGAAAGCAGTACCCATCAAGGCGCCCTCACCCTGGTCATCCAGATGGTCCATCTTCCGATAAGAGAAGCGGGAACCTGCCTCATGCCAGAGAGAGAACAAGGGTCCACGTGGCCCAGTACTATCTACACAGACTGGCAGCAGCAGCCCTTCAGGGTTTTTCAGCCCTAGCTGGGGATGCTGGGTCTTGAGCATGGGACCTTCCACATGCAGAGCATGAGCCCTGGTCCCCTGCATTGGAAGGGGAAAGAGTCAGCTGCCTTATCGTAAGCAAAAGAGGTATTTTCCCAGCTCCTGTTTTCTGACATGAAGAAAGTTTGAGCTAACAAGACATAGATTTCTGTGCGAAGAACACTGAGCTATGTCCAGTTCTCTGGCACTTAAAACAAATTAGAGAGCTCAATTTTTTTTTTAAATTCTAAGTGCATGTCTTTTGCACCTGGTGGATCTTGGAGGTCTAAGAAAAAGCCTATGTCTGACCACCCTTAGTCTTATGCTATGCTTAAGCTATAACAGAAAGGTTTTTCCAAAAATTCTGGGACCATCAAAATTTTTTCATGGTTGGGAATTCTTTTCTGTTGAGCCAAGCAAGAAGAGGTGGTGACATAACCTGGCCGCTTAGTGTGTCGCTGATAATCCTTTTTGCCTCTGGAAAAGTTAATTTTAAAAAATAAATTTAAACATTCATATAACAACAACAGAATGACCCAACTTGGTATTCTTTAATTCTAAGAGCCAGTCTTTGCACCAGGGTTGGCGTGTTAGCAGAAACACGTTTCGTTCTATTGTTATTTTAGGTGCGTGCGCAATCTGCGATACGTACAAAAATCTAAACTCCACGCACAGAACAGATCCACACGCTTGAGGTCCCCCCATTCCTGTTCTACATGCAGAGCATGAGCGCTGGCACCGAGCTAAGCTCCCCACGACAGGCGCACACGCTCCAGCCCGGGTTTGTCCTCCCATCTTTTGTCTTGCTGAAGATCACAGAATGAACTCAGATGTCTTCAGACCAGACACCAAAACAAAGGAAGCACAGTCTGCGCTGGGGGAAGGACGTCAGCACTGCAATAAGCGAAGGCACCCAGACCCCTTGCATTCAGATGTCGAAACGCTTAAAATACGTCCTTTAGATGCAGAGGGTGACGATTTTTCATGTTTATGTTTTATTGTAACTGTTGCTGAAGTTGTTTTAAACTGTCATCTATTTTTTGTAACGCTCAATATTTTATACTGTGTTCCTATATATTTTGTATTGTAATTTTCATGAACTGCCTAGAGAACTTTTGACTATTGGGCAGTGCAGAATGGAACGGAACATCTAGTGTTGCAGGTTGAAAACTATGTTTTTTAAAAATAACCCCCCCTCATTTGCATTCATAGGCCCTTTGAAAGGACCAAGATTGCTGTTTAAAACCTCATTTAGGGTACAATTCTAGCCAGCGGTGCTGCCCCAGAAATTCCTGGAGTTAATAGGACATTTTCTGTCTCAATAGGCTAACAACTGTACCTTTCAGTGACAGAACTTCCTGGATAGCTTTAGGCCAGCCACTGTTCAGCCTAGCCTAGCTCAAAGGGCTGTTATGAGCGTAAAAGAATTCCCCAGGAGAAAGGGGGGAATACCAATTGCTGTACCAAACAAGCAAACAACCCCCCAAAAGGCCAGATTTTAACAATATCAGAATTTCTACTTTATTGCAGGAGTCTGCAAAGACTAACTCAGGGTCACAGGTACTTAAATAAAACACACACATCGCAGGACTAAAAGCCATCGCTCACAGTGGTTCAAAGGTTTGTAGCAGTCACTTTCCAGTCGCATAAACTCCCAAAAGTCGAAACACCTGAGCTTCGACCACAAGTAATCCAAAACGCGTATTAGTCTAATACCTTTATAAGGCCACTCAAAAGATAATTCAAGCACATGCAAGCTTTCAAGGTCTCCAGGTCACTTGACTAGGCAGTTGGTTAGAAAAAGCAGGCTGTCTTGAGGGAGGAACAAGCGAGGAAAAAAATTAGACGTGATTGTGAAGTCACAGCAAGTGAACACAACACAAGCAAGCCAGATCATGGGTTGAGTGCAGGCTGCCTCTATTGTGAGTTGCTGTTGGATGGTGGGCTGTTGTGTTGCATGACGACAAACCATGGGGCTTGTTAATGATGAACAACCCACAAAGAGAACCCATGGTTTGTGAACCCATGGTTCAGTCGTTTGACTGAACGATGAGTTGTTTGTGGTTAACAAATGATTGTTTATTCGCAAGGCTGGATTCACTTAACCTAACAATCCACAACTCACGGAGAACCCACACTTAATCTGTACTCTGGCTTGTTGCACTGTTTGAACCAGAGTCCAAAAACAGAGCGGGGGAGGAAGGGTCTCTAGATATTACCGTCCAGATCGTTGAGACTACTATTCCCAAGATGTCTGACTCAGGAATGATGGGTATGGTAGTCCAAATCATCTGGCAGACACCAGGATAGGGCAGGCCGTTTCGGGTGGTGCAGGTCATGCAGTGGTTACAGGCTCTACATTCAAGGAAGAGGAACTGATACCACCAGAAACGCAAACTTTATTTTCCATGGGGCCACCTGCTCGGGCTGCTAGCGAACCTACTAAATTTTGCTTCTATTTACCTTTTTTCTTCTTTTAACCAGAGCAGCATTTCAAACCACATCCTGATTTGTTAATATAAAGACTGCTTAATATTTCCCTTGGTCCCACCACTAATAGAAGTCTATATGCTTCACCAGTAAGGAAAACACATCTGAGCTCAGCAACATTCTATATTTTCAGAAATGAAGGATCCAATGTTTTATCCTTCTGGTATTTAGCAGCACTTTCTGACCATGTGACTTCACCATTAAAGCAGAGTTCTCCTCACCCTGGTCTTTCCCTACCTCCAAACCTGCATTTTTAACACCTCCCCTCATGGAGATCTGTGTGTCTGGAACGTTGGTGATTTTTAAAACAAAACTTCAAGGATCTGATCTGATTCAAGTGGGGGCTTGCGTACCGAACGGATCCTTCATCAATTGGAACAGCCCTCCCTAAAAGTAACACCACCGGACAAGGAAGATTAGCATGCCACAAAAAAGAGGCCAGAATCTTTCTACCAGACACTGTAAATTTTAAAGCAGCATTTCTGCTGCTCCCTGTTCGAGTTTTCCCTACAGTGACATGCCCACATCTTGATCATACCAATACAAACCACATGGGCGCCTGCAAGATTAACTTTTCCTTGGCAATCTCCTCTGCCAATGAGGGAACGGTTCTATTTCAGAAGAATCAAGCACAGGTCCCAACGACGTGCGATTGGGAGCCATTTTCTTCAGGGTGACTGGTCCTAACAACGGCAACCTTTTCTTCATCCACTTGGCTAAACCAGGAAAGCCAACTGTGTGTCTTGGCCCAGAACAGACAGACAGGCCACATATGAATGTTAAAGTTGGAGGCTAAGTCTGGCACCCCAATTGCCTGTACTGTTTCAACCAGCTGAAAAGTGTATTTTCACATGTTTTTGCAAATGCTTTTCCTGCTCTCTATTCATGGCACCTCTTCCTCAGCCAAATGGACAATGCTGTAGGCAATGATAATAAATGGATCAAAGGACTAAAGATCATCTCTCTCCAAAGACACTCAATAGAGCTTTCAGAATGACAATATTTTATTATGTTGTCATTACCCTAAAAACCTTGGCAAAAAAGTGGCTCAGGATAATAAAAGCTGTAAAAGTACTCAGGCTACAAACTGAGAGAGAAAATGCAAGCATGAAGCCAAAAGTCAGCAAGAGGAATTCTGCTAGCAACAATTACAGGAGCAACCTACTCCTACCAGGGCTACTGCAATTCTATTTCTACCATGGGCTTACACCAGCAGCGCATACCCTCAGGCCCAGGTCCCAAACTGGCCCCCAAGGGGTCCCCTTGATTGTTTGGTGGCTTATTCCTCCCTTTTCAAGGCTGATATGCATCTCTTAAGGCTCAGAGACTGGCTCTCCAGCGGAAATATGCTGGGGTCATGGCCCCCCCCCCCCCACTGGAGCACAGCCCCAAGAGCTTCTCTGAAATGGAATTCAGCCCCGGGGCTGCAAGAGACTCTGACTCATGGAGAGATGCCAGGCGTTTGATCCGAGACCGCAGTCCACCTACCTTGCTGCTTAGGCACTTCTTTGCGACCGATCAAGTCCCAGTTGGTTGCTCCAAAAATCAGAAGCTGACCCTTGAACTTGGACCCTTCAAGTTTCTGCGAGAGGTAGTAAGGAACAAACAAGAAAGAGGAGGAGAGAGTCACTTCTGGCTCTGGCTGCAGGCAATGAGGCACAGAACACCCTGGAAGCCTCAGACCAAACGCTTGATCGGAAGGGCACTTTCAAAATTCAGCTTTACATCCAAATTTTAATTCTGTAGTGAAAATGTATGGTGTTCTGATTATTCCCTGCAGCTCAACACACCATGCATCTGTTCCGTTGGCTTGGAATTAAAATGATATGGGGCTGCGAGGTTCTGCTTAGTATCCCAACACCCAGAAAGCACTGGTTTAAATTAACGCGGTCATTTTAATTAACAAATACCAGTCTTTTCCCCCCCAGTTCTTTCTGTGTCACCGAGGTAGCTGGGAGGATGGAAGAGAGAACAAGTGCCTGGCTCTCGGCCATACCAGACCGAGCGCTCCTCTCAGTGGAGTGGCTCAATTTTTTCCCCATGTGGGGGGGGGGGGAGGAGGAGGAGGAGGCATGGTGTCCCTGCATATTTATTTGTCCACGTTTGCTGCCTGTTGTCTCTGCAGCAGTGGACTTCCCTAGCAGCACAGAGAAAGGAGTGGGCGGGGAAAGTCACAAAAAGTTGGAGACACTTTTGCTGCCTAAGCTTCTCACCTCATACTTCAGCGAAAGGGCAGACATAGCGAGCTAATTCGACCTTTCCCTGCCAAAAAGACCATCTATGAGAACTGAAGTGGCGCCTCAATTTTGCTTTATTTTCTACCCAATCATTTTTTCCTTTCGAGTTATGTCTTTTTAGATTGTAAACTGGAAGGTGGAGATGCCTCATGACTAATCTTTGCAAGCTGCTCTGTGAGCCTTTTTGGGGCTGAGGAATGGGGTAAATTACTGCAAAAATAAATCAATAAAGCACAACCGCCGAGGCAAGTCCAAGCAACGACTGCTTGTCTCCTTACTCTTGTCTAGAAGCAGCTCAGGATGCCCCAAAGCAATGAGCCCATAAGCCAAAAACAAAACTCAACCTTGGAGATAAACAAATATTAATAGAGAATATACTGGGCTATGTTATTAAGTCTGATCCAGTGCTATTCCTCTCAGCCCATGCCAATAAAATACTTTAGAAAGAAAAACGGGGAACAAGTTATACAGGAACAGCAGCCAGACTGGTTTTACCCCTTTTCTGGAAACCATCCAAAATACCTAACATGAGAAAGCGATCGCAAAGCTGTGGGACCTTGTGGCAACAGCCAAATTATTATTCTACAGAAGCAATCAGGCAAAATTGTGAGAATCAGGAGAGATGACTTTCGACGTGGTAAACTGCTCAGAAAGCTCCAGCTGTAGGCCGGCATGGTAATAAATGAATGGAAGAACGAAGGAATGAAGGAAATCGATTCTGCGAGGTGCTGTGGGCTTCAGAGGGAACAGGACTCATCCCTTTTCACTCTGCACGATGGTATTTCACAGTAGCACCCTGAAAATGTGGGATTCCTTCTCCGCATCCCACACAGAAACACAGAACCCCCGCCCCCCCGCTGCAAATGGACAGAAATCCTTACAATGTGCTCCTTGCTGTGTTCGGGCTCGCTGACCACCATGGCGGCCTGGGGGGGCTGCTGGTTTTGGGGCGGCTGCTGGTCTCCTGTCCCTCGAGGCCGGGCTACTTTCTTGCCGCCTCCGGCAGCCGTGGGAGCAGCAGTGCCAGGAGGCAACGCCAGCCCGTCCCGCTCATCCCCGCTGCTCCCATCGCCCCCGTTGCTGCTGCTGCTCCCCGTCTCATCCCGGGTCTTCTTCTTGGCTGGAGGAGCCCCCCGAGCGGAGCCGGGCCGCCTGCGAGACGTGCCCGTCCCGTTGCCCGAGCTGGCACTGTCCCAGGCCGTGGACGAGCCCGACGCTGCCTTCCGCCTGGGCATCCTTCTCTGCTCCACTTCCTGTCTGCCTGCAAGTGGAAAAGAGAAGGAAAGTAAGGACAAAAGGATATGGGGGGGGCACGATCACGGGGAGAAAAGAAACAGGCCAAGGGGCGCAAAACGTTGCTTTGAGAGCCCACACCAATTAGGCTCTCAAAGCAATTTCTCCCCTAATAAAACGTAAGTGGGAAATACGTTGATAAAAAGGCACCCCAAAATAATGCAGCAGAGGCTCCATAAACTCTCCCAGTGAACAAATGGAGACAGATGCTCCCAAACCTACGAAAATAACTCCCCAAATTTAGTAATAAGGGAAGAACCTCAAACTCCAGCAAATGAAGGGGACAGACCCCATACATCTCAAAAATTACTTCTGGAACCACAGAAAGGTACAAAAGCAAACTGCCCAAGCCCAAATAAAGACCATTAAGCAAGCAATCCTATGCAAACATAGACAATGGGCTTTTTCCTGTCTAAACTTGCTCAGGATTGCCCCTCTTACCTGGGAGCAAAGGCCACTGAATTCAGCAGCACTTATTCCTGAATGGGCATGGTGCCCATGCATGCATTTTAAATGTCTGCCCTCAGAAAGAACTAATATTAAAGGCTGCAATCACACGCTTTTTGTCTGGTAGTCCCACGAAACTCAGTGGGCTCACTTGTGGACAGACAGACACCCTTCAGCTTGCACTAGCAATCCCTCCATCCACACACAGGATTAACCTCAGCACGCTAATAAAATAAAGATAAAAGGAGGCACAGGAGGCACAAAATGGGGGAAAGCAAACCCACAAAATTAGCCCCAAGGAAAGATGGTTGAGCATTATAATGCAAACCTACAAAGGTCTACTTGGGACCCCAGTGGCTGTAGGATTGCAAGCTTGGGCCCTGCTCTTCCCTCCATGGTAAGCATTGGGAAAAGGCACATTTCCTGGGTCCACCTCCTTACATCTTCCAAACAAAATACATCAATTTTAATAAAACAAATAATAATGGGAAAAATAATTTCTACTGTATACAGATGCCCCCCCCCAAGCTCAAATAACCTCTCTGGGATATCAAAATCAGAATTCCCACCTAGGTCATCTGCACCCTCCAAAAGAAAATATAGCAAAGTGACAAGAGATATATAACAGGAAAAACTGAGGGAAAATTATATTGAAAACACACAGATCTCCTCCTCCTGTTGGTGTTCTCACCTAAAAAAGGGGGTGTTTACAGGGATGAAAAGGGCCCCCATGAGTAAGAAAATTAATTATATGGGCTGCCAGGGAAGTGTTGGCTAGTGAGTAGTTCAGAAATGTAATAAGGAAATATTCTTAATCATAGAGATAATAAAAATTATACCTGCCTATTGCAATGGGTAGGATAGATCCCCTCACAACAGGAAATAAACAAATGTTGGTTTTTGAGGGAGGAATAACTCCTCACATATCCAAGAGGGGGGCAGTAACCCAGAAAAATGAGCTTTTATTGGGAGATTTATTTACACCGAGAGATAGGCACACACAAGCCCAAGCTGCAAAAAATAAATACACAAGTCAGCATCTGTGAGGGAAAACGCAGCCAGGCCTCTCCCCTAGAAAAGTAGGATTTAAATAGGTAAGTAAAGAAACAAACAGATTTTCCCTCACAGGCAGCAGCCTCAGAACAAATAATTCAGGGCTGTGAGGAGAAATTAGGCCCCCAAAATAAAATATGTCTGGCCACCCCGATTCCTATAGGGAAAGTGGGAAACAAATTGGGGGGCTACCCCCCAACCCCACAGAAGGGGGTGTTATCTTCCCCCCAGGCCTAATTGAGGGTCCTCGGCCCCCTCTCCTTGGAGGGCATTTTATAATGGGGTGCCTTGTGAGGGGAAACCCCCCTTCAGAAGGGGGGACAGGATGCAAAGGGGCTTTCTCCTCACAAAGGGAGAGCGGCTTTATGGGGAAGGGGTCCCACGACACTGCCAGCCCCCCAAAGCACCCCAGGGGTGCTCCAGGGAAAATGGGGAGACACTATGGGATGCGCCCCCCTCCAGCTTTGCAAAAAGGGGTCCTTCTCCCCCCCCACTGAACCTCCCATTTGGAGGGGAGATATATAAACCTGGGCATTTTATGAGGAGAAATCCTCCCCTCCAGGGGAAAAGAGGGGCCTTCTCACATGGGGCCTGCTTTTATGGGGCCGGGCATGAGGAAAAATCCCCCATAGATGGGGGGAACCCCATTTTGGTCCTGGCAGCAAAACAGACCCCTCCCCACACACACCAAGCCCAGCAGGGTATGCCCCACAGGCCCCATGAGGCCTCAGCACTGGCTTTGCTGGCTGGGGATGATGGGATTTGCAGGTCAAGCACTTCCGGAGAGTCAGAGATCCCCCGTTTCAATTGCAACTCCTTCCTGAAAAGGGGGGAAAGAGAAATCCCATTGGGTTGCCCTTTGGTCTATGAAGCCAAATTGGGTGGAAAAATGACCCATATATGAAAAGGGGGGCTATGACCCAAATATCCTCCCAAAGGAAGTCTTTGTGCGGAAGGGGTTGGGGTTATTCTCAGTTCTCCCCCGAACCATTGCTTGGGGTGCCTCTGTTCAACCCACCTACGGCTTTGGGGTGCCGGAGACCCCTCGCCTTATGCCAAGGCATGGAAAGAAGGTAAGGGGCGCAGTCCTGCATTTCTAACAGCCCCCCCTAAATAACAGGTTAGGGGGTGCAGAAAGCAAGCCTAGGAAAACTTTTCCGTGGGTGGAAGTCAAGTCAGCATCGACCCCATATAAGATGCAATGGCTGTGTATTTATTTTCCAGGGAACGCAAGGGGGGGGCGTTGTGTGCTGGGGAGGTGGAGAGACCCCCCCCAGCCCCACGGAAAAGTGGGGTGCAGCCTCCCCCAAATGTGGAGAGAGCCCCCAGCTCAGGCCCTCCTGCACAAAGCTGGGGGCAGGCCAGCCTTCCAATGCAGCCCCCCAGAACCTCCCATGCGTGCCCCTCCAAACGAGGACAGCCCCCCCACCCGCAGATTTAAAACGGGGTTGCAGCTTCCTCTCCTCTGCCCCCTCCCCAATGGAAGGGGGGCAAGATGCCCTCATCCTGCCTGAACGCCCCCTCCTGAAAACAGGCACCCTCTCCAGGGAACTCACAGATACCCCCCCCCAATCTGTGCATCACACAAGCACAAGGGCTCTTCCACTATCAAGCCCCCCCCCCGAGCTTGCAATTCATAGCTCTCCTCGCAACTTCAGAAATTAATGCCGGGGGGGGGGCACACATTTCATCACCGCACCGTCCAAACTCTGCTCCCGACCGAGGCAACTTTCGCCCCGAGCTGCGAATCCCGGGCACCGCACAACTTTCCGGCCGCATCGCCGAGGTACGCGCCGCGCCCCCCCCGCCGCCGTCCCGGAGCAAAAGCGGCCGCGGCAGAACAAAGCGGGGGCGCCGCTGCCCGCGCACTCCGGGCGGGCAGGGACGCGGCCGCCGCGCAGACGCCGAACAATGAGGGCGCCCCGCGCCCCCCGCGCAGGGGGGAGCCGGGGCGCCCGCCCCACGGCCGCCGCGCACGCCGCCCGGGAGGGGCGGGGAGGGGGGAGGGGGGCAGGAATGGCCCCCCCAGCGTCGCACAGGCGGCCCCCGGCTCCTCCTCGGGAAGCCCCGCTCGGGGCCACCGCGCGACTGGGCGCGAGCTCCCCTGCACCCCCAAACCTGTCTGAGTCGGACGCCGTCCCCGCATTCCTGCTGGAAGGAAAAATCGCCATCGGTACTCCGGGAAAAGGCAGCTCCTCTCGCCCGGCCACGCCGACGTACCATTCACGCTTTTGCGCCTCGTTTGTCCCATTTCCCCCACCCCCCCCTTTTTTTTTTTTTTTTGGTCCTGGGCCTTTGCAAAAAGAGAGAAAAATGCCCGAATCCTGCCCCACGTTTAAACGCACCTGCTCGCTCTGCTTGTGTGTCTTTCTTTAGCCCTCCCCTCTTTTTTCTTGCTTTGCAAAATAGAAAGATAAAAATTAAATTAAAACAAACTTTAGCGTTCTGTTTCTCAAGCCTCCTTCTCTTTCTTGAAAGGAAAAAAAATGCAGATGCCTGGAGCTCTCTTTTCGCAAATTGTATTCCTTGAATCCAGGTTACAAATTTGTCCACATCTCCTTCGTCTGCCCCCCCGTTCCCTTGCCCACCCCCCTTTCCTCCGTCTGCTTCTTTTTTTATTGATTTTGAACAATGGGACCTCTGTCTGTCTCCGATTAAACCACGTGGATCCGCCTTCCTTCCCCTTTTTTAAAAAATCCACCCCCTCTTTCTATCCCCCCCACGCCAATCTTGCAAAAAATAAACACCCAACTTTCACTTTCCTCCGATTTGCATCAAATGGCAAGCGGGGCTGGAATGCAGCGTCAGCCAGCGCGATGATTGTGATTTTATTTTTATTTTTTATAATGCACTAAAAAACCCTTTTAATGTTTTGCACTACTTCCTGTGAAGGGGGAGGAAAGGAAGGGGAAAGAAAACACACGGGCGCGCACACACTCCCCAAACGGCTTCTCTCGCTCCAGTCCACCCACCCGATCCGCTTAATATATAAACATGAGCTTGCGACGGACTTGCTGCGGGAGAAAACAGAAACACATGCCTGGGCAGGAAGGGAAGGGAGGCGAGGCGAGGCAGGCGAGGCGGGCGGGAAGGACGGGCCGGGCCGGGCGGGCCGGGGCGAGGCGCCGCCGCCGCCGCCCGCGCAGCGCCACCTGCAGGCCGGGATGACCCGCGGCGCGGCGGGGCTCGTTCCGGCGGGCGGGGCGGCCGCGCGAGGGCTCCCCGGGGCGCGGGTGCCGTGCCAGCGCCCCCCGCTCTGCGGCGGACCCCCGGAACGGGGAAGGGCCCCCCCGCCTGCCCAGTTCAGGAGCGGCTCTCCGGGCATGCCAGCGGGATGGTGGTGGAAAGACCCCCGGCAAACCACTGATGAGCCAGATAGCAAGATTAGGCCTGCCCGGTCCCGCAGCGGGGGGTGGGGGGCGTATGGGCTGCACCCCTCTCCAGGCTGGAGGGAAGGGGCCTTAGGATTGAGGGCCGTCTCCAGACAAGGTCCAGACAAGCTGCATTCCCCACTGATAGAAAGAAGCGGCCCATAGAAGGGGAACCCCCCCCATAAAGTGAGTGGGGGGATTTCTAATTAGGAAAACTGGGGATCCCCCAGTGTCCCCTTCAGATCTACCTTTGCTGACTCCCTTTGCAGCACCCCGGTAGGAATCTTGTGCACGCCTAACACAGCCGCCTGAGCGGCTTCGTGTAGCCCTTAAACACCTGGAGGGGGGCAAAGGGCACTGGGGTCAGGAGGAGGGCAGCCCCGGCCTCCACCTGGGAGCAGGGCCAACGGCTACTGCAGCCCTTGCCGGATTGGTTCCAGGCCCGCAGGCCTGGCGGCCTCCTGACGAGCATCAGCTGGGTGCCCCGGGAGGAGCTACGGAGGCCGGGCCGGCCGAGCCGAAGGCGCTTCCCCCTTCGCCGGTGTGGCTCCTCGTCCTGCCCGGCTCTGCCGGCCCATCCGTGCCTTGCTGCCTCAGCCTCCTGTCGGCGCGGCATGTGCCAGCAGCTGCATCTTGCCCGTGCCGGGCTGAGCTGGCCTCACTACCTGGCCCTGCTACTGCGCCTGCTGCTGCTCCTGAATCCCACCTGGTGGTCCTGCCTCAGGTATGTGCTCTGTTTCAGTTTGTGGTTGTGGGGCTTGGCCTTCGGCTCATGAACGGCCGAGGCCGCTGTGAGGCACGCACCTGGTCCCTGCTTTCTTCCCGCTTCTGGACCACGCTCTGCCTCTGAGTGGGCTGCCCTTTCTGAGCAGCGCTTAAAAACCCCTGCACTTATTTTCTTGGCCCCGTCGCCTTTCTCTGGCTTCTTGTGCAGTGCACCCACATGCAAGGAATCAGGCTGGATTCCCCGGAACCACCTGGAGTCGGCCATGTAATAGGCGTGGTTCTCCTCCTGCCTCTAGATCGTGTGGCTACTCAAACTGAGTAGCAGAAGGGCCATGGGGGTGGGGGGGGTGGTAGAGGATGACGTGGTAGTTGAGGCTTGAAATACCACTGTTTTGCAAACAAACGAGACTTACATTCCTCTGCTTCCAAAGCCATGTTTGAAACAATTGCTAGGCTGCCTGTGTTGCCATGCAGGCTTGCCCTCGCTTGTTTATCTGTGGGTATATATGGCGTGTTCATTCAGTTTGTGGTGTGGGGCCAGATGGGGAGGCTGTCCTTACAAGGGTGCATGCGAATGAGTTGACTTTAATTCACAAGGGAATACTTGGGTCAGGGATGGGCAGACCTCAGTCCTCCAGAGTTTGCTGGCCTTGCACCAGTATCTCCAGGCATGCCCAGATTATATGTAGGTTTCTGTCCTTTGGGCCTGGGCCCCAAACCATTTAATAGCTGAGCCATTTCTCTGCTTTCTGTGACTCTCTCAGTGATGGAACAAATTTATTACCTATCCTTAGCACAATCATGAATGTTTTCGGGATCAGGTCCCAGAGGGGTGGGACTTCTTTCAAACTGCGTAATGTGCCCAACCTGGCAGGTACATAGGCTCACTCGAAGCCTCCGCTGTATTAAGCTATTTGGCAGCAGCTTTCTGGGTCCCAAGCGGAGAGAGAAACCTTCTGTAGCGGAGGCGAGCTGGGGCTGAGAGATGGGGACTTCTGCATGGAGGGCATGTGCATCGCCGCTGGGCTGTAAAAGGCTCGTCTCCCCTTCGGCCAAGAGAAGGAACGCTGCATCGGGGTCCCCCTTCCTTGCCCAGGATGCCCGGTACTCTTCGCAGAGGTCCTTTCCAAAGAAAGTTGCTTTCGCCACGGCAGCTGGGCTTGCTTGCGCTGGGTTGAATTCCTCATTCCCAGAGAACCCCGGTATTGAAAGCACCCGCAAGCAAGTAGTGGGGCGCGCATTCAGCCTGTATCAGAAGCATCTGTCTGAGCGCCTTTATTTCTGGGAAATGGAAATGCTGCACCCCTTAACAGATCCTCTTTGGGAAAGAGAAACTCCAGTTGCAGTCTGACAGTCCACCAGAGGGTGCCCAATCCCATAAATGCAACCAGCTTTCAGTGGCGTTCTGTGGGTATTAATAGCATAACGAGTGGTGGGAAGGGAGACCAAAGCGTGGCCAAAGGTTTCTCCTTGCCCGTGATTGTGCTGCCCCTTGGCGGGCGAGACAGGTTCGAAGGGGCCTGTGCGCTTTTAGCCAGGGCGGGAGGGTGTCATGGAGAGCTGGGAGGAAGGAGCGCTGCGGTGTGACTGTCCACGCTGGCGAAAGTTCCTCTGGAACAGCTTTGCCCTCTGCTTGGGCAGAACCCTACGAAGTACTTGAATGGGCCCACGTGTCCCCAAGGCTGGTGTGCAGGGCCTCGGGCTGGGGTCCATCTGCCCTTGCTGGGGTCCCCAGGCTTGCCTCCTCCCCCTGGTCTCGCTTATGGCTCCTGTTCGATAGGTTTGCCATTTGCGATGTTTGTGCGTCTGTTTTCCACATTCAGCAAGGCTGCAGTGCATCCCCTGAGGCTGCCGAGTTTGGCATTAATTAAATGAACAAATTAAGCTAACATGCAAACAATAGGTTGGTATTTTTGGAGCGTTTGGTCCCTTCTGCCTTTGCTCCTGCCCATCACTGGAAGGTGGTCCCCAAGAGTGTCTCGCATTTAGTTTGGTCTCGGGCTGACAGAGGCGCTTCTGCCTGACAGGTTGTCGAGAGCCTTCCAACCATGCGAGGAGCCTTCACCTGGAATGCCGTCCATGGGCTGCTCTTTTGCTGTGAGTCGCGTGTGAAGTTGCTCCCACGTACACACAACACGTGAGTCTCCTCTGCATTGTGCGGGAAACACCCTAATTTCTTCTGAAGGGTTCAGGTTCCTCTTTTGTCTGGTTCCTGGTGAACAAGGTTTTGAAGAATTCTCCGTTTTCCAGGCTCCTCTTTCTTCCATGTCTCCTGAGAACGCTCTGCAAGGCAGGGAGAGGACCCACTGGCAGGGAAAGAGGAAGGCGGAAAAAAACACGACTCCTGCCAGAACTGACAAACTTTCTTGGCAACGTGGAGCCTGTTTCCGCCCCTCTTGCAGCTTGAACTGCGGGCAAGACTAGTATTGCTTCCAGTTGAGGAAGTCTGGAGAAAGCTTTCACATTTATTAATTTAAAGTATTTCCGTCCCATTCCTCAGCCGTGCCCCTGATTTATCCACTTCCCATCCGAAATCCTTTGGACCTATCAGCTGAAAGACCAAACTGCCATATGGAGAGTTGCAATAACTACAGTCTGAAGCATTGTATTGTTTTAAATCTCTTGTAACAAACTACAGGACACCATTGAAAATTGGCCACGTCTCAGAAAGCCTAAGAGAAAAGAAAGGTGCTTGGCCAAGTGCCTGAAGGAAGGCAACACGGGGACCCAAGCTGGCTGGGTGTGATGGGAGTTGCGTCTTGACCCACCCAGCCGGCACCCCCCACCCCATTAGCAGCAGCATCTTTAACGTCTTTCCTCCTAGCGCCGCCCAGGGTGGGTCAAGACGCTCAGCCCCTCTGAGTCAGAGAAGCAAAGGCTTTCCTTCCAGAGGTGAAACTGCTGCAGCAGGTACGGGTGAAGTCACCCGTGTTCTGTTCCCACAGGTACTGACTCACCTGGACTGCAGGCTGCGCTGAAGAGGAAGCGACAACGGAAGGGCTGGGGCATTTCGCGCATCGGATGGCCTTCCCTGCCAGAAGAGCGAGACGCACACGGCACTCGTGACTTGAGCCCAGAGGGTGGCAGGAGAAGCGGGAAGGACACGGAATGGGTATGCTCCTTTCGGAAAACTCCTTGCGTGAATCGCGGAAGCTGCATGTCCCTGCAGCTTAATAGAAGAGAGGATGCCGTTCATTAGCTCTCGCCTTCTTCCTGTTCTGCCCCTCCGCTGGCGACAGGTTGCAGCCTGCCTTTCCTCAGCGGGCGGGTGAGCCAGGGCTCAGCACTGGCAACTGCTCCTAGGGGCAAGCACAACCTGGCGTGGCAAGGAGATGCTACCTCCAGGCATGCGCAGAGTGTGCTTGTGCTCAGAGCGAGCTCTGATGCTTTCTAGATTTCAGAAGAAAGGGTGTGAATGCTCTGCTCTGCTGTGCTGTGCCGGTGGCACTAGGCATTTTTCTCAGCTGCTGCTTCCTTTCTGCAAAGCGTCCCTGGGCCCGGCCTGTCGCCGTGTGCTTGCCCATGGCTAGGTTGGCTGTTGGGCTGGCAGTGCCAGCTCGGGCTCGGGAGGATCCTTGTCCCCCCCACTGCCGGTCCCCACCCTCAGCGTCTCCCCTCTTCCTGCGCACGGCCGCCGGATCCTTGCTCGCCTGGGAGGCATCTCCTGCTCGCCCTTCTGGCCGTCTCCGCTGCTTTGGCGGAGGGAGAGGCAGAGGAAGACACGGCCCGCAGTGGAGGAGAGGAAGTGGCCTTGTCAGGGAGCCCAGGGGGTGCCCAGGCAGCCCGTGCTGGGCAAGCGAGCGGGAGCCACGAGGAGGGGCAAAATGGGGTGGCCACGCTGGGGAAGAGGCAGCCTTGCTGAGCCTGGGGCTCCCTGCGGGCGTCCTGCTGACGGCCGCCGGCACTGGAGGAATGGGCAGTGGCACCTTTCTGGGCACGGGGCCCAGGGTGCCCCCGGCCGCGGGCTGCAGTGGGGGCCACAGGCGAAAGGGTGGAAACAAAGCTTGATTTGTCCAAGCCTTTAAACACGGCTCTTGCCACACCTGGCGCATCACGTTTCACCCGAAAGCGCTGACGGTTTTGTTTGTTTACGCCTGGTGAGAGGGGAAGGTGCGTGTGTTAATGAGAGGCAGAAGCTGGAACGTTTACCTTCCGTAGGGCGGGAGGCACACTCAGGCGTGTCGGCTTGGAAGGGTGTGAGGCTGGTCTCCCCGCGACTCCCGCAGTGCGCCTTCATTTGAACTTGACTGCCTGCAGCTTCTTCATGCACCCCAGTTAATTTTTTCAGAGCAGAACAGTTTTGGGCTTTAGGCTGGAGCGTGTGCTTTTCTGCTGTTAAACCGAGCGTGGAGGTATTTACACAGTGACGTATTAGCATTCTTTCGGTTCCAGGGCTGCATTCCGGTTTGGGGGCGTGATGGTCTATGGGGTGGGACGGGGCTGCATCCGTGCGGCTGAGTTACTTATGGTGAGTCACTCAGCCCTGGCAGAGGCATTCTGACTTTCTAGGGTAGCGAAAGAATCGCTCGCAGCGAGGAAGCAGTCAGACTGGAGAACCAGACTGGGTGGCTAGCCCCGGACGGGGACACAGAGACCTGCCACTGTTCCCCACCTGGCTGTGGGACTCGGAGTGACTTCAGGCCGGTCTCTGGGCCTTGGCCCTAACCTACCTCACGGGGTTGTTCGAAGGATAAAGTGGGGAGGTGGACAATGTATGTTGCTTTGGGTCTCATACAAGAGGAAAAACGTGGGTGGTAATCATAATAGCAATACTAATAATGATGCTGGCATATACACTGGCTGGTAACTTATTGGAGGGCTAGTTGCTTCCCACGAAGAAAGAAATGCTTGGCAGCGCAGAGGGGCCCCAGAGCCACTGTGCAGAGGCCCAAGTTCTGGCTGCTGCTTGGCGCCGAAGCTCCCCGAATGGACTCTCCATCCCGCAGGGTGGGCGGGGGAATAAAAGGGGAGCGAGTCCATCTGCTTTGCCTTGGGCTCCGTGCAAGGTGAAACGGTGATGCGGGAGCATAATATTAAGAATAGCAAGCAGGCGGCTAGAGGTGTGCGGAGAAGCCGTGGAGCCAGGTGCAAGCTCACGAGGACCGCGGCGTGGTGCTCCGGAGCAGCGGCACCCACCGCCTGGCGAGGGTCTGTGCAGCCGCTGGCGGCCGTCGCCCGGGGAGTCTGGGAGCCGCTGTCCAAGCCAGGAGGCTCTGCTAGGCCCGAGGTAGTCGGCGCAGGTGTGCGTGTGAGCGGCTGGCAGCGTTTTGTGGCTTTCTCTGCCAGCGTTTGCCACCTGCACAGGTGTGAACTCTGCCTGCACAGAGCGAGGCCACCTCTTGTGTCTGCTCCCACTGATATTTATTTTAATGTCATCGTGACCTTTTAGTCAGGCAGTCACCCAGCCTGAATGTCTGACTGCACTCTGGAAAAATCCCAGTGTTAATTTAAGAAAAGCAAGAACAAACGACCGAGTTTCTAGGTCTTAAGGCCTGAGCGTACAGATACTGGGGTGGGGAGCTACGTTTGGGCGAAGGGCCGGGTTCTCTTGGAGACGTGCAGGGACAGCGTTCCAGCGGAGGACGGTGCTAAAGGTGGACGGGACCAGAATGCCAGTGTGCTCAAGCGCGAGGCTCCGGTGCCCGTAGAAGCCACAGGAGGGGCACTTTGGCCCTTGAAAGTGGCTGGTGGGTAGGGGCGTCGCAAATGCCAGGAAATTGGTGGTTGGGTGACACAGGGTGGGCCGGGGCTGTGGCCTTCTGGGAAATCGGGAAGCTTGCAGGCAGGTCCCCAGAAGATTCAAAGACGGGGTGTGAGCAGCAGGCGCCACGGACCAGAAGGACAGGGCGAGACCCAGGACCCGGCCAGCTGCGGCCCAGCTGAGTTGGGGAGGCCAGGTTAGCGCTACGCAGGTGCCTGGCTGCGTGGAAAATACCAGGAGCCCCGGGCGTACTGCTCGGCCTGGCAAAAAAATCGGTTCAGCGAGAGTTCAAGGCGAGTCCCTGTTTGCTCTGTTGCAAACAGGAGCGCCGACCGGTTAGGAGCAGGCGTGTTGCTGCAGAGGAAGGCCGTCCCGGCGGCGTCTCGGAGATCCAGACGGGGCTGTTGGTCCCGTTCGTCTGGTTCCTTTCTCTCCCCCAGCAGTGGATGGTGAAGGTGCTTGCACTTGTTCACAGCTGAGCGTTGCGGGACGTGCGGAGAGCTGATCATGCCGGGCTGGGCTGACCCTGCGGTGGCATCCCCGTGAGCTGGAGGAGGTGGGAAGCCGGAGGCTGCGCCGCTGGGATTTCGTCACGCTGGTAGGTGAGGAAATCCGGAGCAGCGGTTCTGCCCATCAGCACCGCGGCCTTGAAGGAGGTGGGGTAACTTGGTGTCCTGCGACAGCAGGGGGTTGGGCCCGATGGCCTCCTGGCCCCTTCCAACTCGACTGCACGATCCTGTGGCCTGGGTGGGGGCCTCAGAGGCCATCTGGTCCCACCCCGAGCCTGATGCAAGTCACCACTGAAGGCGCTTCCAAGACTATAGTCTCTCCAGAAGCTCTTAAGGACTGGGCAGGCCATATGGGAGAAGACCTTTTTCCAGGTAGAATCATGGAAGAGTCGAGTTGGAAGGGGCCATGCAGGCCATCCAGCCCACCCCCTGCTGTTGCAGGACACCACGTTACCACCCCACTCAGAGGGCTGCCCAGTTTTGCCTTGACTGTGGGAGAGCCCCCCACCCCTCCAGGCGGCTGGTCCCACTGTCCTATTGCTCTGACAGTGAGGAAGCTTTTCCTGACGTCCGGCCTGAATCTGGGTTGTCGCAACTTGACCTGAGCCCGGTCCTACGTCACCTGGGGCTTTAACTCAATACCAACCCCTGGCATTCTGCTTTAGCACCTACAGTGAGAAGCTGGGAAATAGTCGAGCTTGGACTTTAAATAGTCATGGGGTCCGCTTTGGAAAGCCCGGTTTATGGCTTCGTTTGTGAAGGCAGTGCATCCAGCGTTCATCTTCTCATGTGCTGTTTCATGCGCCTGCTGCCCTGTGCCCTGTGCCATGGCTTGCCATGGGACAAGATTTAGACTTGGAATAAGTTGTTCTCACTTGGATACCCCCCAACCCTTTTGGCTGCCAATGCGTTTCCAGCCATTCACACTTATTTTATTAAAAAATAAAGTCCCCCCCATCTGCCACTCTTCAACATTTTCAGTTGCTGAACACAAACTTTCAGCAACACGTAATCCACTCCTTGGTTGCTCAGGTCTGCTATTTGTTAAAGGAAGCCCCTCAAATCCCCCATTGATCTCCCAGTCAACAGATTACTAAAAATAAAATAAATACGTGTATATCTCATAGCTCTTTTGACATTTGTACTCAGGGTGCAGGCTGGCAGTTTTTATAGATAATCTGATCACACCTGGTTTTAAAGATTATGTGACATGAGAAGGAGAGGAGCTGTTTCAATGTGTCAAGAAGCGCTTAAGGTGGTGCTTGGTGGTGCTGACAGATAAGGGAAGGAAGCCATTGATAGGGGAAGAAATCCAGGGAGCGGCTCTGCCTGTCAGAGGGATGCTTTTTCCTGTGAAATGACTGTCAAGAGCTCGCCAACAGACACCTTTCCTTGCAATTAGCCCTGGATTATCCTGCCACTCAGCTCCCGGCAGTCTTTGCGGCTCTGCGGTCCCTGCCCCATGTACGGGGAACTGCCAGTCGTCCCTCGCTGGATAAGCCCCTTGGTGGGAGGCCGCTTCCTGACCCCTACGCTTTCAGGTGCAGTTCTAGGCCACGGGGGATGCTGGATCTAAAGCTTAACTTTAGATAGGTTGAAGACCGGGAAAAGCCAGGATAAATGGAAAAGGTCTGAGTAATGGTCAAAAGCAATGGGATGCTGGTGAAATAAATCGTTTATTTCAAGTCTCATTTCTACCCTGCTCATCGACCAAACCGAGGTTTCCAGAAAAACTTGCAAAGATTAGTGATGAAATGGTCTTTCCCCTCAGGGTTCCACAATAGGTCACAACACAAGAGGAAAGGGGTTGAGACGGGAGGAGGAAGGCAGCAGCAGCCGGGACTCAGGTGGCTGTTCCTGGTTGCAAAGCTCTTGCGGGTGCTTTTGGGCAGTGATGGCTCC